TTGCCTGCATGATGCGCGTCCGGAGGATAGTGGTGGTCTGCACAACAGTCGCCCATGCCTTCCTGACCTGGTTGACGTCGCAGTCGGGGGGCAAAGTGAAGAGAAACCGGTCAGTGTAGGCTTCTGATCCACTGGTTTCGGTAATTGCGACAAGCCCCTCTTGGAGCGCGGTTGTCGGATATATATCCTCAATGTAGGATGCAGTAATCTGGCACTGCTCAGCCGCGAGTGGAAGTAGTGTGGGGATGCTCTTATCATCCAAAAGGCTGTAAGGTCGAGGGGTCGATTGTTGAACCCGTCCAGCATCGCCCTGCTCGAGCTTCTCAGCCACCGTGCGTAGGGTTGTATCTTCAGCCAGGAGGTACTCCACGCGGAGCTGCCAGTTCTCCCTTGCCAGCATTCGAACGACCCGTATCGCCGTGACTGAGTCTCCTCCCATGTGCAGGAAATTGAGGTCGAGGTTGACTGAGGGGGCTGGGATCCCAAAGATTGCTCCGACTGCCTGAGTTAGCGAGTGCTCCTGCTCAGACTCGGTCAGAACAGATCGTGACTCCGAGTCCCGGCACAAGCTTGGCCGCGCACTGAGCCAGATGGTCAGGTCGACTGGTGTGAGGGTTTCGAGCAGACCACAGAGCCGTTTGCGGTCTACCTTGTCAGTTGCCGTGCGAGGAAAGGTCTTAAGCGGGACAATGAATGAAGGAATCATATAGAGAGGCAGGTGTGGGCGGAGAGTGGACTGATAGCGACGAGCCAGCGCCGCGCAAGACGGAGGCAACGTCTCCAATTTAGGGCTACTTCGCCTATTGCTCCAGTCGACCTCGGCGCCAGCGTTATTAGCGACAAATGCTACCAGCGTAGCTCCTTGGTCACTCTTCAAGGTGACAGCTGCGACCGCAATCTCGACGCCTTGCTCCAGCTGGCGGAAGCGAAGTTCAACGGCATCGGTGTCCACGCGCTGGCCCCTGATCTTCACATAGGTGTCCTTGCGGCTGAGATAGCGGAAGGTGCCGTCGGCGTTATAGTGGCAGAGATCACCCGTCTTGAAGAAAGGGCCCTGAATTGGAATTTCATCGAACTGCGACCGCCACTTCGGAGGGTCAATGAAAACCTGTGCGGTGCGGTCGGGGTCATTGAGATAGCCCTCGGCGATGACTGCGCCCTCCATCACGACCTCCCCAACCGTGCCAATAGGTGCAAGACAGTCACTATCGTCGGGCGCTGTGATCCACGCAATACAACCGGCCGCGGTTCCGATGGTGCCTGGAATCCATGTCGTAGGCACAATCTCTCCTGCGCCGGACGGGCCCACTTCGGCCGGGCCCCAGAGGTTGAATATTCGGACATGAGTGCCCCATCGTCGGACGAGGTCCTGTCCGATGCTCTCGCCGCCGAGGACGAGGGTCTTCAGGGATGGGAAGTCCGCTGGTTCGAAGTTTCTAAGGGTTGAGGGGGTAAAGAACGCCCAGGTGACTCCATGACTTCGAAGGAAGTCGGGCATCGAGTTCAAACGTTGGGTCTCCGACGGGATGCAGAGACATGCGCCGCGAGTCAGCGCCTGCCACGTCTCAATGATACTCATGTCGAAGGCGTATGAAGAGAACTGCAGAACTCGTGAGTCGGGCCTGACTTGCATGCGCTTACCGACATAATAGCCGGCGGTGCTGATGGCGCGGTGGCTAAGAACAATGCCCTTCGGGGTGCCCGTACTACCGGACGTGAAGACGATGAAAGCGACATCTTCCGGATTCGCCGGGGTAAAGATGATCGAGGAGGAAGGAGAAGTCGAAGAGTAAGTGCAGGACTGTGGGATGATGACCCGATCACGACCCATCTGGTGCAGCCGTGTCGCTTGCGTTTCCGAAGCCACAATGACAGGAGGGCAAGCCTGCTTGAGAATGGCTTCAATGGCCTCATCGGGGTGGGTGCTGCATAGGCAGACCGCAACGGCGCGGATCTTGACTACCGCCAGCATGCTGACCGTCATCCAGTAGGACTTCTCGAAGAGCAACGGGACAATCGTCCCTGGTAACACCTTCTCCTGCTGCAACTCGGCCGCCAGCAGAGAGGAGAGTTCATCGAGTTGCTTATACGTGAGCTCCCCGTCCCACGCTGACACGGCGGCTCGTCCGCCATCCAATTGAACCTGCGCCATGAACAGATCCTGAAAGCACCTGTCAATTGGGAGTGGTGGGTTGGAGTTCCATCGCAGCAGCTGGCGCTTGTCGTTCAGGCTTAGGGTGAAAGCTTGCTGGAGTGTAGAATCCCGACCGATCTTACGCAGCTCCTGCGCAACGTGCACAAACTGCTGGACGATTCGCTGTGCATCACGGGGATTGCATCGCGACTCGTCGTAGACGGCTCGGCAGGCGCATCCTTTCCTCTGCTGCTCCAGTCGCAGTTGGAGCACGTCGTTTGTAGCAGGTGGCGGGAGATCTTGACTCCTCCGCTTGCGTGGATGCTTCCACGGTAGGAGAAAGCTTGTTGATGGTCTGCTAGTATCTTTTGTAGTGCCTGGTTCGGGATTGCCGACTTCTATCGGGAGTATTGCTCGAGCGATAGCGTCAATAGCGACCCCAATCGAGGCGGACGGCGACAAGTCCACCTCTAATGAAACAGAGTTTCCATCGCCTGGCTGAAGTTGACTGTCCAGTACGAGACTCACCGAGCCTTGGTATCTCGCCATCAAGACAGCCCATCCAAGCACATAGATTTCCGGAGCGAGACTCCCCGTCAAGGCTAAAGCCTTCGTCTCCCCATAGATGGATGCCCCAACGCCATCACTTCCTGAGGAGGGTACGTACAACGGGGACGGTATCGTCACCGCTAACCAACGATCTAATGACATCTCCCGAAAGCTGGAGAAAATGGCGCGACGAACTATAGAGGATGCAGAGAAGACAAGAAGCAGGCCCAAGTCACACCAGCCCAGGAAAATGGCTCTGCCCGTAACTGGGCATCGCCGCGGCCATCCGGCGCCAGATATACGTGGAACTACACCGTCGAATCAGGCACGAAGGTTGCACGAGTCGGTAGTCGGAGATGAGTGAGTGACATGCGGGTCTCACTCACGCGATGAAGATAGTAAGCAAAGGGCGAATTTGCATGTTTCTGACAGCCACGCCGCGGCGGAGGGCCGTCTGTGGGAACCTTCTAGCTAGCGAGATTATGCATATGATTTGAAACACAATATCTATAGCAGGCTTAGACCCTAAATCATACGCATGCATAGATGATAGGCACCCAGCATGACAGAATTCCAGTCCCTTTGCCTACGCCGATCCAACAGCACCTTACTCTTCCTTCCCAGTCACCTCTTCCCACTGCGATGCAAGATGACGATCTCCCTACTTGGGAGCGGCATTCGAACGCAAGGTCGGAGTAGAGATATTGCACGGCAGTGGGAAGGTGTCCAAGGCAAAAAGTCGCTTGGTTTCTCCTTGCGGCAAGGTATGTGGATCCACTCGCTAACGACACCCCTTGATGCCGTATCAAACCTACCATCGGTATAGAGCAACATCACAATTCCACGACATGTTGCGAGGCGTCCGAGAGCCGTTTAGGTAGTTGCTGGATTACGGAAGGAGCCCGAATAATGCGATCATTGCCCGTGATCCGGCCGAGTCTCCTTGCGTATTCGACGGCTGTCAATGAGCTACTTAACCTCACCAGAGGACATGGATGCGCGGTTGCCAGCTACTAGCAGTACTTGGGTTGGACTCGAAACAACCACAATCTAAAATGGGTAGTCTATGTAAAGACAGAGCAGCTCACTGCCGGGAGAGTACCGTCGACGCCTCGCGCTTCATCTCCGGCACACACGACGAGCAAAGAGCCTTTGCGGATGAACTCGTCCAGTCGGTGCTGCGATGTGGGTTTGTCAAAGTGGTCAACCATGGGCTCTCTGACGAGCTCATCGACGAGCTATTCATGTGGGTGCGTGTGTCCCTCCGCCCTTCGAGCACAATAGCATCTTACTAACCGAGTTAGAATGAACGGTTCTTTCAATTGGAAGCAGAGCAGAAGCTAGCCATTGCCAACCCGGCGGGTCCAACTCCGCAGCGTGGATGGAGCTGCGTGGGTGCTGAGAAGACATCGCGGCTGTTCAGCCGTGGGGCCAGCTCCATCGATCTCACAGATGCGCGGGTGAGTCTTCTGTTCGCCTTGTTCATGGACGGACCCTGATGAAACGGTTTAGGAGCACTTTGACGCAGGGTCACCGCATGACAAGACCTTCGCGAATCGCTGGCCGGACAACAACACCCTGCCAGGCTTCCAGTCCTTTATGGAGAACTTCTACCTCAAATCCCACGAGGCCGCCTTGACCATCATGCGCAGCATCGAGATGGGGCTCGACCTCCCCCAGGACTCTCTAGTCGACAAATGCAGAGGTTCCTCCAGCGAGCTACGACTCAACCACTACCCGACAATTGATATTGAAGAGCTAGCCCGCAACAAAGTCAGCCGCATCCATCCTCACGCAGACCTGGGCGTGATTACCTGCCTCTTCCAAGACGGCCAGGGCGGACTGGAGATGGAGGATCGCACGAACCCTAACTCCTTCCTGCCCATTGTCGCGGGAAAACGGTCAGAGATGGTGGTTAACATCAGCGAGACCTTCCAACTGTGGACGAACAATGTGCTCCGCCCGGGCGTGCACCAGGTCACTATTCCCCCAACCATGAAGCATCTCAGCTCGGGGAAGATTGCCTCTCGTCGGTCCTGTGCCTTCTTCCTCAAGGCGGACCGGGATGCCTCCGTTGCGCCTCTGCCGCAGTTTGTCACCGAGAAAAGGCCGGCGGCGTATGGGGAGATGACGGCTTTGCAGTATCACCAGCAACGATTGGCAACGGCTTACTAGTCCTTGTCACTCGCGATGAGCGTATTCATGGTCTACAGAATGCTCCAATGTGCGGAGAAGGCTCGGGGTTTCACATTTTAGCTCTAGTGTTGTCGTTCTCAGTTCCAGATGCAGAAAAAGACTATCTATATCTCATACTCTCCCAGAAGCCATCCCACCTAGACGTCCCATGTAGATGGTGTATGACTGAGATTAAGCTCGACCCTGCGAGCTCTTTGCGCCCAGTCCAGCCGTCGCGTTTGCAGTAACAGCACTACACTCCCTCAGGCTCTGCATCACCCGCTTGCTTTCCAGAACCACAGACCCAGCCTCCGTAGCACCGCCCTTCGTTGAGACCTGAGCCACGATCTCCTGTGGCGCGCGCTGGTGATGAATAAGCGTGGCCGCACCGCGAGCAGCCTGAGCCGTAATCTCCAATGCCACCTGCAAGGGCAGCGTAGCCGCATCGTCCTTGTTCTCATTCTCGTCATCACCCTCAGCCCCCAGCCCCTCAGCCAGCGCAGCGATGATCCCAGCAAAGAAGGCTACCGACGAAGATCCCAGCGCCGACGCAGCATGCATCTGCCTCTCCGGTAACCATCGCACAATACCCAGCTGCTCGAACAAAGCGGTGACGAGACTGCGAGCCGCGGAATGTGTCGTCCACGCCTCAGTATCTGACAAAACAGTCACCGACTCACGCACAGCTGCCGCAACGCTGCAGACGGCCCGCGTCACCAGCCAGCCCTGATCGCCACCATCCTGGCCATTCATCTGCCTCGCGATACTCTCAGCAGAGACCCCGCCGACCAGACTCACCAAGACCCGTGGGCTGGACCCCGGTACGATCATCTGATCCTTACCACGACCATGGGATCGGCACAGATCGCCTCGCCCTCCTTGCACGTCCGCCAGCAGCTCTGCCAGCGCGGTATGCTTGCAGCCGATCAGAACGATATCAGCGCGCAGCGCGATGGCGCGATTGCGGTCGCTCTTGCAGATCTCGACGCCGGGGAATCCATTTTTGCCCCCAGCCAGGAAGGGGCGGATGGCGTGCGAGACTCGCTCCACTGCGGCGTCTGACCGAACCGTCACTTGGATGTTGTCGACAGGAGTGTGGGGCTTGGTGGCGCCGTCATTGATGGTTGTCGGGGCCTGCAGCGCAGCGGCAAGGAGGCCCTGCAGCACCGCTTGGCCGATCTTCCCTGCCCAGGTTTTTGGGTTCGGTCAGGGAGGTAGTCAAAAGGGTGGCTGGGGTTATTGATGGGATTCTCACATACCGCATCCGAGAATAGCCACAGCTAGTCCCTTGTTCGGGGAAGACATGGTGAGGTGGTCGTGATGGGGGGTGGGGGGTGGCGCGAGGGGGTTGTCTTCGGCTGCTGCAGGTGAGGAGGCAGGGTGGTTAAATATGGTACTCGCGCGGAATTCGTGCCCGACACTCAGATTTGAGGTGTTGGGCAGTTTTCTGCGGGCTTCCTGCAAGCATCTGCGGGTATATGCAGTGTGTATGCAACACTCGTGAGGGGCGTGCAGCTGCAAGTAATGGAATGTGACACGTAACAGCGCAAGCGACAGCCATATCTGAAAATAGTTGCTGCGCGGGCCACAGTGCGTTCGAGGTATAGATAGATACCATGCAAGCCAGCCCCGTGTTCCTTGCAGTACGTATCTGGTCGATCTATAGTGTCTAGAAACCGCAGATCGGCGAGGTGGCTGTTCTTGAAGAGCTAGGGAGGAGGAATGAGCCAGCAACAATGCATTGTCCATGGGACTATGCAACGATCGTGTCTATGAGCTCTGATGTCCTAGGGAGGCTGCTGCTGGACAGAATTGACCAACACTGCAGTCTGCAGGTCACTGCATGATTCTAAAAGTCTTCATGCTACTCAGTGAGGTTGTACATGAGTGTCAGTGGAGCCAGAAGTGGCAGGTCCACCGCTTTAATAAAATACATCTAACGTGGTTGATTTACCTCGGTTGTCTAGTTATGACAACACTGTAGTGGTGGATATACTTGTTATACTAACAAAATGACACTGCCTTAGAGCTTTCCGGTAGTGAACAGCAATTGAAGAGCCATCAAGGCGGTTAAATCAGGCACAGTAGTAAAGAACGATGTATGGAAAGAGCTGAACCAACTATAACTCAGTTATGGATCTGTAGGATAATACTTCTTAATCTTGTGATAACGCTACAATAACTCCTTATAACCCTCCACACATCTAGGGATAAATTTCATATGTACAAAGAGTTGTAACACAAATTATAAGTGTTCTGAGAGTTTGGAACCAGCTTACATATTATAGAGAAAGAGAGATCAATTATAGCTGTAATTAGGATGATGGGAATATATAGATTGTATGAGCCAAGAAGAATACTTTACATACTCAAGCGAGAAGAACAATTAGTGGGATTATACACGGCTTTTCAAAAGGGCAAAGTATTCAGTAATTGGAAAGTCTTAACACTACAGCTAACGCTGAGGCCTAGCGGGGCATGGCTAGGAGTTAAGTAATCAGTGTACGATGGTTATGCACGATGCTCACCGCAAGTGCCTTGGGTATATATATATATCGCATTCGACAGCCGAGCTTCATTAGCTTCCTCGTCAACCGAGCCCGTCTAAGTCACTAGTCCGAGTTCCCTATCTTACTCCATATACGAGCTTGTTCTTTGCTCAACATTGATACTACTATAACGATAAACATGACTGTCTCCATCGAACCCCACACCCCCCAAGCAGCTCCTAAACAAACCCCCAAGCACCCCGACCCGGAAATCTACACCTCCCTAACCAGATCCCTCGACTTCGCCAACGACGCCGAGGAGAAATGGTGGACGCGCACCGCGCCTCTTCTTTCGAGAATCCTCTCCTCAGCCGACTACACTCTCCCGCAGCAATGCCAGTTCCTGACCCTCTACAACACGCTGATGATCCCCAACTTCGGGCCCCACCCGCACACATGGCACTCCTCGATCACTCACTCGGGGCTCCCCGTCGAGTTCAGCGTCAACTACCAGCCCGGCAAGCAGCCCACCGTACGCATTGGCTTTGAACCGGCCTCGTCTATCTCCGGCGGTGCACGGGATCCGTACAACATGGTTACCGTGTCGAATGTGCTGAATAAGATGGGTCGACTGGGCTTTGCGGGGTTCGATCCGTCGCTGTTCCATACCTTGATTAGCACGTTGGCGCTATCGCGCAAGGAGAGTAATCACCTGGGGGGCGCGAAGCTGGAGGGGTCCAAATTCAAGACGCAAGCGGCGTTTGGGCTGGACCTCAAGGGGGATGCGGTCACGGTCAAGACCTATCTTTACCCCGCGCTGAAGTGCAAGGTGGGGGACACTGGGCTAAGTGAGCTGCTTGAAAAGGCCATTACTAAAGGTCAGAATGTGCCGGACTGCGGCCGGGTGGTTTCGCTCGTCAATGAGTACATGGAGGAGGGCCAGTGCTATAACCAGTACTCGTTTGTCGGGTTCGATTGTGTGGACTCGGCCAAGGCGCGGCTCAAGGTCTACGGAGCACTTCTGGACATCTCATGGGCCAAGGTGGAGGAGATCTGGACGCTTGGGGGCCGTCTGGCGGATAGCGAGACCAACAAGAAGGGCCTCGAGTATATGCGGGTGCTCTGGGAGTACCTGACCCCTGGCCAGGTAGGTTTCCCGGACTGTCTGCTTTCTTACACATATTAAATTTTCGCAGGACCGACGCCCCGTGGGAATCTGGAACTATGAGCTTCTACCCAACAGCGACGAGCCGATGCCCAAGTTCTACGTGGACATGAACGGAGAGAACGATCTCCAGAATGCGCAGGGTATTGCCAAATTCATGCAGCACATTGGATTGACGGCGACCGGCGAAGAATTCATCAAGACGATCCAGGAGTACTTGTATGAGGCCTTATCCACCTTGTCCTAAGTGCGTGGGGTTTATGCTAATTTGTCTCACTACAGCCCCGGCGTCGACCTCGAGCAGACCACGGATATTATCCAATACGTCTCTTTTGCCTGGAGCAAAGGGGGGCCATATTTCAGCGTCTATTACCACTCTTCCTACTAAGCGGATCAATTCATGGCCGTCCTGGCAAGCGCCACCTATCAGTTAGCATGCGTATTGCTCACCGTAGACTGCCCCTTGCACCTTGCTGGTTTCGCCGAGATAGTCACTACTATAACAAGAATAATTAGTTGGAGCATTTTTGCTTTTACCGAGTGACCGCTATTTCCGTCTGTACTCCATGTAGCAGGATCCGTTCCATCCGGGACGGCTTTCGAAGGAGGTAGCCCTAAGTATGCGTTCTTGGGGCTCCGCCGGTCAACAGGCAGAGTCATCCTTCAGCCCGACCCTACCTTTTGCGTACAGGTTTTAAAGCTTGCATGGATGTATCCCATATACTCAGTAAGCAAGATACGTGCATTCTATTGTTCTAGGATGGTAAACCCTAAGCATACTGGGCCAGCGCCAGCTCCCCCCACAGCTCCTCCGGCAAATTGGTCGGTCGATACTTTTGGCCCTCGCGGACTGCCCTGGCAACCCTCTCAAACTCCCGCTCTGTATACGCCTGGCTATCATGCCCGAAAATCCACGTCTCGAGCGGCAGCGAGGCCACATTCTCCTCGTCCGCCGCAAACGCGTCCCAGTCCTGGTTCCGCCACCCCTCGTTCGAACGGTGGCTGATGAGCTGGACAGCCGAAGCCCGCGCGTAGCGAATGCGCTCCGCCACCCGGAGGGCGAGGGGCACCCGTTCCTGTCCAGCGAGAGAGAGCGTGGTCGCGAGCGCGTTGGCGTCCTCGATCCCTTGGGATGCACCCTGCCCGGCGGCCGGGGAGAGCGGGTGCGCAGCGTCGCCGATGAGGATGAGGCGGCCACCGCTGGAGACCCAGTGCGAGAGCGGTTCGTGGTTTAAGAGCGGGTAGTTGATGAACTTTTGGGGAAGTGTGTGGCGGATAACAGACCAGAGGCGCGCGCCGATGGGCCAGTCTTTGATTAGGTTGAGCATTTCGTTAGGGTCGGCCGTCGATGTCCAGACGTCGAGGAGGTTGCGCGTGTCCTGAAGCCGTGGTTAGTCAACATGTGTAGACACAAGTATGGGACGTATAGCTACACAGATTCATACCTGGTGGATGCAGAACCACGAAAAGACCTTGCCCTTGTTACACGACTGCAGGGCGATCTGGGCACCAGAGAGGAAGAAGACGTCGAATCGGTCGGCTTGCTCCACCCCCTCAAACACCCAGCTGGCCTCTGGATCTGCCCTAAGTCGGTCGATATTGACCAACGCCCGGAAGGCCGCATAGCCCGACGGCCGCGGCTCGACGGGCTGCCCACGCATAATCGCCTGGCGCATCTTGCTGTGTACCCCGTCGCTGCAGATCACACAGTCCGCGCGGACTCGCTCGCTTGTGCCATCCCGCGCCGTGACGAGCACGCTGGCGCCCTGCTCATCTTCAACAGGGTCGGAAACGTCCACGCCAAGCGTCATCTCCACGCCGATCTTGCGCGCGTGCTCATACATCACCCGGATCAGCTCTGAGCGCGGCAGGAGGTAGTTGTGCTGCTTGCACACCTCCGAGAGATCCTGGCGGATGATCCGGCCGCCGGACGAGTTGTGGATCTGAATCTCCTTTGCGGTGACGACCCAGTCACGGAGGGCTTCGTGGATCGCCCCGTTGCCCCATCGTCCGATGATGCGTGTTGCGTTGCTCTGGAGGCCAATACAGTCGCCTACCCCACCAACAACATCATGAGCAGTCATCAGAAAGGAGCCACGGGTGGGGAGTCTTACCGATAGGCTTGAGGATATCGCTCTTCTCGAAGGCTCGGACCTTGTGGCCCTTCTCGCGGCACTCGATCGCTGCCGAGAGCCCGACTATGCCGAGCCCAACGATGATGACTTGGACTTCTTCGCCGATGGAACCCATCCTGCTGTATCTAATGCTACGATAGTGACTGGGAACGCGAACGGTGCGATAGACAGGTAGTAGGCCTCTATACACTTTCTCTTAGACTGTCCGATTGCCTGGCTATGAATTGCGTCACTTATCGAAAAGCATTCCTGCAAGGGCTATCTTACCGGTGTGACTGTCAGTAAGGAGGCCATATCTCACTCGCTGTCTTCGCTCATGCGTAGCATGTCCGGAACTGCGGTGAAGGGGAAGAGTGCCAAGCGACGCAAGGGTCTTCGCAGTTGGCCCCCCTGTTGTTTGCTTTCCAACAGACCTAGCGTCGTGCACTGCCTCCCTCATGTTGGACGAAAAAGATGCGTGGTGCGCAAGACAATGTAGCTCTACCTGAAGCCAGGCACTTACTTGCAGACACAGCGTCATGCCTCATCCACCGATCAAGGGGCTCCCACCCGAGTATAGGTAACCCTATGAACCTCGGTAATTACGACTGATAACGGCCTTTAGGGACCTCACTGATAACAGCTCACCTCCCCTTCTCTCCACCTCCGTACACGCAGCAGTGTCTCCATACTTCTTTTCCTACAGCTCCTCTTCCACCAAAAACACAATGACCCAAGGCGCCCGAAAGTATACTGACCAGCTGCGCAACACGCGCGTGCTGGTCATTGGCGGCACATCCGGGATCGGCTTCGCCGTCGCGGAAGCAGCGGCCGAGCACGACGCCATCGTCACCATCGCGGGCTCCAAGCAGGCCAAGCTCGACCAGGCCCTGACCCGTCTACGAGAATCGAGCCCGCACTCCGCCGCAGACCGAATCCAGGGGATGCAATGCGACCTGGGCGATCCGGCGACGGTCGAAGCCAACGTGCAGCGACTGCTGGCGCTGGCCGCCGGCGACGGCAAGATCAACCACGTCGTGATCACGGCGGCGGACATGACGCAGCCGCCAGCGCTGGTGGGGCTGACGGTGGCCGACGTCCAGCGGCCGGGGGTGATCCGGCTGGTGGCGCCGCTGATGGTGGCCAAACACCTCCCGGCGTACATGGAGCAGGACGCGGGGAACTCGCTGACGCTGACCAGCGGCGCCCACTGTCTCAAGCCGGATCCCGGATGGACGGTCATCTCGGGATACTGCGGCGCGGTGGAGGCGATGGCACGCGGGCTGGCGGTGGACTTGAAGCCGTTGCGCGTCAATGTCGTGGCCCCCGGGGCGGTGCTCACCGAGGCGGTCCGTGATATCCTGGGCGGCGCCACAGATCTCGCGGTGAAGATGGCCAGGGAGAAGTCCACGGTCGCCCAGGTCGGGACCCCGGAGAGCGTGGCCCAGGCGTATCTGTATCTGATGAAGGACCGGTATAACTCGGGGTCGACGCTGGCTACGAATGGGGGGATGCTACTGCTTTGAGCTGAGGGTGGGCTTTCACAATAGTGGCTGCATTATGGCCTTCTTGCGAGGTAGAGTGAGATTCGGCTGGATGCAATTGTACCTCGAAGGTGATGGTCTGATCGAGGTAGCTACCGCTAATAGCTGCTGTTGACTACGAATTTATGGTTAAAACCTCTTATTCCTCCTGATCCCGCGCCCGAGAGCCTGGGCTCTCAGTTCTCGCATCGCAACGATCAAATCAAATACAATGACCGATGTTAATATATCTCGAGCTCTCAGTAATGACCTGCTTTGCCTAAGCTAGTTCCCTTCACCGGTGTGCGGTAGTTTCCCACGCCTCGGAGATATAACCCGACCCACGTAAGACAGTCTATCGGGTGCTCCAACATAGCCTAGAGGAAAATGGATGAACCCGTGGCAATCCATTGCCAGCACCCTATCAGTCTGACCACTCTCTACATCTCCTTTGAATGGATCGCTATGGTAAGTGTAGTGCACACACATGTCAGTATGTGCTAGCGCATAGCACATTGACACTGAATACCGTTCAAAGCCGGCAGGCGGTTGGTCGGATGAGGATTTACATTCGGCGTCAAGGACGCAAGGGGCACCAATGAACCGAAACAATGGTATTCTGTTGTCTGCCAGGGCTAAACCGACTTGCAGCTGTCCTCATCAATAATGTGGCAGTGAGGGGTGGTCCCCTCCCTGTGCAGCATCATAACTAATAGCAGACCACCCTAGAAAGTCGGTGAAACGGTGTCTCAATGCTGCCAGGAGCAGTCGATGTGTCTTCTGGAGGTGGCAAGCATCAGCACGAGGCAAGGGGGTGAACACTGGCACTACCGGCAGTAGTTTGAATTCACTGTTGTTCCAATCTTTCTATCATTATTATCTATATAGTGAGATACTCACGGTGCACGTTGCCACCACGAGCATCCTCACCCCCAAGCCTATTCATTCTCTCATTCAAATCTCTCGCCATGGGTCAAATGCAACAAGATGCGGACGAGTACTTCCGCGTGTGGAATCCCGAGCAAGCCGATCCCAATCACCAGGAGAAGCCCGAAGAGCTGGAGGTTTGTGACAACTACATCCCTATCTACTGAGTTCCAGAAGCCGTGTTGACTCTTGCGAAGCAACGGAAAGCCGCTCAAGATGCCCTCTCCATCCAGTGAGCCCCATTCCCTCCCATGTTCCTTCACCTTGCCTCGCACTCACAACAACCAGGTACTACAACCTGGTGACCTCGATCTTCCAGAAGTCCGGGCGGATGTGCGGGCACCTGTGCCGACTCTCGCCCAACGAGCCGATGGCGCAGTCGCTGGTGCGGCACGAGCACTACCTGGCGCACCGGGTGAACATCCAAGAAGGCGAGAAGATCCTGGATGTGGGGTGTGGGATCGGCAACCCGGCGCGGTCGATCGCGCGGTTCACGGGGGCCAACATCACGGGGCTGAACATCAACGCGCAGCAGCTGCGGCAGGCGCGCCAGCTGACCCAGGAGGCCGGGCTGGGGTACCAGGTGAACTTCGTGGAGCAGAACTTCCTGCGCATGGAGGACTTCGCGGCCGAGACCTTCGACGGGGCGTACGCGATCGAGTCGACCTGCTACGCGCCGGACCTGGTCGAGGTGTACTCGGAGATCTTCCGGGTGCTGAAGCCCGGCGCGCGCTTCGGGGTCTACGAGGCCCTGCTGACGGACAAGTACGACGAGGCGAACCCCGTCCACCGCGAGGTCAAGACCAACATCGAGCGCGGCGGCGGGCTCGCGCGCATCCACACCTCCGCCGAGGCCATCGCCGCCATGAAGGCCGTCGGCTTTGAGATCCTCGCCATCGACGACCTCGGCGCCCGCCCGGACCAGATCCCCTGGGAAACTCAGCTGAGTGACCCGACTCTCGAGAAGCAGGGCTGGCTGTCCTTTGCGCTGTTGAGCGTCTTCTTTGCCGCCCGCGCCTCGCCCCTGGTCAATCGCGGGCTGCAGGCTGTCGTGGGTAAGTTGGAGCAGCTGACGCTTTTCCCGGCCGGGTCGCAGAAGGTCGTGGATCTGGTGGTCACTATTCTGGATGGCATGTACCGTGGCGGAGCGTTGGGCATCTTTTCACCCATGTTTTTGATCGTGGCGAGGAAGCCAGAGGCGTAGTCTAGTCGCGATGTTGGAATGACAGAAGAGGAACACAAGGATGCGTCTTGAATCTGGGAACAATTTCTTGGAGTGTATGGAATGATTCATGAATACCAGTAACTGAGTTAAATTTGCGTATGCGGAGTCTCTCTTCTCGGATAGCCAATAGGTAATCATAATCCGATGGAGAAGAGCAGTACGAAAAGGACAGTGGACTCAATCGTCACTTATTCTACGTTGATCGTCTTCATTGGAGCGGGGTGGAAGCATTATCGTACTCCGAAGATACGAACTAGCTGAGGTAAAATCTGCTTATGGGGCAACTATTTCCTCAGTTAATTATTCAAGGCAGTCACAATCCCATGGATAATACTACGACAAACAGAACAGTCGGCTCAATTTGGACTTTCTTTAAGTTAATATTGTCTATAGGACTTGGTGGGAAGGGCTTATCGTACTCCAACCACACGATCTAGTTGAGGGAGAGATTTAGATATCTAGGATACAAGCCGTTCTTCCAGGAAACCCTAACTCAGTGCACAACCGCAGGGACTTTCGCAGTCTTCTCCCTCTTGACTGACAACCACTCCAGAAACACCGCTCCAAAAATCGACAGCGCGCTCCCCGCAACAGGAAGATAAAACGTCTGCGTCGTCGCCGCATTATACGCGTTCTTGAGCTGGGGCAGCACCGCCGGCGAAAAAGAGCTCGCCAGCTCCGCCGCACCGGCGGCAATCACATCCCCCGGCGCCACGTCCGGCGCATACTGCACCACGGCCGCGACGAGCCGGTTCTGGAACAGATTCTGCGCGATGGCAATGAACAGCGCGCCGCTGAGGTTCTGCGCAAACATGACGATGGCCGTGGCCGTCGCTATATCGTCGGGCGGGAGCGACGCTTGCACGGCGATGAGGGGGATGTTGAAGCCGAAGCCCGCCCCGATGCCGACGAGGGCCTGGTAGCCAATCCACTCCGGGTGGCCGGAGGTCGCGGTCAGAGTGCTGCACATCCCGCAGCCGATCGAGAGGATGATCGTCCCCAGATACATCAGGGGCATGTAGTGGCCCATCATGTTGACAGCAATGCCCCCGATCAAGGTACACAGGGAGATGCCGGCAATCATTGGGATGCTCATAATGCCCGATGACATGGCGGACGCGCCCTTGACGGCTTGGAACCAGATCGGGAACTACTCTCGTGTCAGATATCGTGAATTCGGGCCCATTGTTTGGCGGCGGTGGAAAACTCACATAGTAGGCCATCACATAGTAGGAGCCGGAGAAGAAGACGGTGTAGACCGCTGTGGCCCAGACGTTTCTCATTGCAATCAGCCGCGGGGGCACCGTTGCCCGTTCCTGCTTCCACCGTTGGATTGCGGCCCAGACGGTTATAAGCACTCCGAAGAGGATGAACAGCACGATGATCCGGGCGTTCTGCCAATGGTACTTGGTGCCAGCCCACTGCAGCGGCAGGAACAGGCAGACAATGGCGGGGACGAAGATGAACAGTCCCCAGAGATCAAGGTGGCCCATCTTCTCCTTCCAAGACAGCTGCGAACGCGCCGGTCGTTCCTTGTCATGATACGAAAAGAGAACCGCCAGACCTGTAACAGCGCCACAAGGCAAGTTGATGTAGAAGCACCATCGCCAGGTCAGGTGGTTGGTGAAGGCGCCTCCGATCCTATCAAGCATTAGAAATCGATGGATCCACAGAATTTGAAAGACAGCTTACAGGGGCCCCGTGACACCAGCGATCCCAGCCATGCCCGTGATCAACGCGTTGTAGAGGGCTCGTTTCTCCAGCGGCACCGTCTCGCTCATGATCAGGACCGCGCCGGGAAAGATGCCCCCACTGCCCAGGCCGGCAATTGCGCGTCCGATAATCAACGCGGTCGAGGTAGGTGCCACACCACATAACAGGGACCCAAGCTCGAACAGCAACAGAGCCGCGCAGAAGGTCCATTTCAGGGGATAGAGCGTGTACAGCTTCCCGAACAAGAGGGTCACCGAGCAGATGGTGAGGAAGTAGACACTGCCATACCACCCGACATCGCTGATGGTCTTAAACTCTAGGGAGATTTTGGGAATCGCCGTCGCGAGGATTGTGTTGTCCTATGAATGATTTAGCTATCTTTCAGGGGATATGCTCGGAGTTTCGCATACTAAAGCAACGCAGAAGATGCCCATGCACAGGCCGGTCGTCAACCACACTATCGTCCAAATGCCCGGGGTAGCGTCCTCGGAGGTGCCATCCGTCTCTTCAGCCTTTGGGGCATCATAGGGCAACTCTTCGAATGGGGTTCCAGCGATTGGTAATTCAACGGGAGCATGTCTAGCAGCTTGCACGCTCTTTTCGGCATCCGTGGCAGTCTCCATCTGGCACAAGGATCGAGTCACTGGATGGGGTACGCTGGATAGAGACACTATGCTACCAGGAATGGTACTCGTAGCAATGGGACCGGAGAGCGCGGAATCCTTGATTGTCCTGGTTCTACATCCTCTGAAGAGTACTCTGGAAAAATCACCACTACTCAGTTTAGATATCTTCCTTCTCGTCCACATCAAGATCTACAAGACCCTTACTCCGTCCTCACCCAAGAGACGATCACGAATTTTGAATCTCGGCTGTTCTTCCACCCGGGACCCCCTCGATAGCTTCCTTCCGTGGAAGGCCCCGCCTAGAATTCCTGAACACGGAGAGGGCATGATAGAGATCTTCAAATGCTGTATCCTTGCGGGTGCAAGGAAAGAAATGAGTGGACTTCGACTTCAAACATCTACAGGTGCCACCAGCGATCCTAATGACAGTGCTTCATGCTCGAACGGCACCCTGACCGCTGGAGCAGTGCGTTCTCCCCCTCACCTCTGCCGCTTGCCAGCGGCAAATATATTCTGCCAGGGCAGCAAGGGGCAGCATCTGAGACACTTCTTCACTCAAGTAAGGCATTCTTATGACCATCAATGACAGACGTCCTTCGCAGGTGTACCCCTGGCATTGTCAGGTCTAGGTTTGGCATGTGCACCGTCTCAGACTTGGCATTAGACCCTCACATCCAGTAACCCGCAAGGACAGTATGGGAGATGCAGAGATCATTGACTCCCCCTTTCACATGAGCTTCTAGAGACGAAGTCGCCAGTTGCATAGCAAGGAGCGGGCTACAGCGGAAAAACCAATCTCTGTACACCGCAATTGATTGCCGTCAAGGCCATTGAAGTGGCGACAACAGTAGCAGTGGTTTATAACACCGCAAAACATCCTAGTTCGTTCGAGAACACCAGAGAATCATCTGAGTACCTCATCTCCACGAGATCCCACCAAGATACCTCCACGAAACACCGCCCCGCCAACATGGTCTTCCGCACAGTCTTCGCCAGCGTTGCTCTAGCCCTTGCCCTTTCGCGGGTATCCGCTGGTCCAGTTCCCGAGGCCATTCCAGCGGTAAACTTGAATGAAATCCCCAAAATTACCACAATCTAACCACTCCGCAACAGGCCGCCGTCTACTCCGACATCGAGTACCAGGGCACCACCGCCCGGATCCCCGTCTCCGACAGCTGCGTCGACCTGACGATCGTCAACAACGGAATGTAAGTTACCTATGGGTTCCACCTAATCGTGGTATTCTGTCAGTCCGACTGACCCCACCCTTTCTAGGAATGAAACTGCCGGCATTGGCTCGATGGTGATTCCCGGCCCAGAGATCACATGCAGCTTCTATGAGTAAGTCGGACAGTCGGACGGGAACCTTCTAGTTAGCCTTTGGACTACGCGGCTAATAAAGGCACAGGACATGCGACTGCTCCGGCGGCACCTTCGGACAGGAGTTCCAGTTCTCGGCGTCGACGCCTGATGTCCGCCAGCAGTATAGGGATCTCGCACAGCTGTCGATTGACAGTATCAAGTGTAAGAGTGTAAAGAATTTCAGCTAGAGTGGTGGTGGGGCTGCATGGGAGGATCTGGGCAGCAAAGTGGGATCTAGGAATGTGTTGGGTTGGTTGATGAAAAAATATATATTTGTTTGACAGTCGGGTACAGTCTGGTGTATGGCCGAACGGTTAATGCGTTCGCACGCAGTATCTTATCCATTTTAAAGATCTTCATATACGGCTCTTAATGGCTGAAAAACTTATAGAACGGTTGTTCGACGTGTCCCATTTTTATAAGATACAAACTATTTTTCAATATATTTAAATTTAACGACTTAACCTGCTTTATATGATAATTCTAAATTTTACTTTTCGATTTATTACTTTATAAAACTCAGGTTTCTGTTGTATATATATTACAATGTCCGGATATCAGGTATAAAACAGCTCAGAGTAGTATTAATATATAAACATTCCAATTATATCTATTTATATGATTTTCAAGAACTTAGACTAATTATACATATTCGTAGATAGATTGGACTAATATAATATCTATAACTTTAATACATTATATATATGGCTCGATAAAAATAGTATGCTAAATTATAAGCTGCGACTACTGCTATACAGATCTTAAGCCTGCTAGAAGCAAGAATGAATTCATCATCATCATCATCATCACCAGTCGGGTGTATCCTTCGGAGACAGTGTAGATATTGAACACCAGGGAAAGACTAGTTATGCTATCTGCCAAACGAAAAGTGAAATGGAGACCAGGCTAGCTGTTTTGATTCGATTCTGTGTATGGGATGACAGGACTGGTACCCTGCAGTGTAAGTTAGATGAGGCGTAAGGTCTACGTGTAGTGCAATGCTGTAGTGCAATGCGACTAATACTTTGAGCACACTCTCCAGCTTGCGATATAATAAGATTTAGTCGAGTTCTACCACCAATAACATTATAGTGCAATCTCCTCCTCCCGTCGCCTCACCATAAGCTGCGCCATTGGATTTGCAATACACGAAATTCCCGCCGACAATGTCCGCGGCATCTCACTCTCCACACTCTTGATCTCATATCTCACCAGGATGTGACTCAGTATGACCTTGACCGCTGCTACGGCGAAGAACCGCCCCGGACACGCCGCATTGCCATGGCCAAAGCCCATGTGCTCCACACTCGTAGCAACCGCATGGGCTTTATGTTCCTGGCCTGGATTCTCCTTCATCCGTAGGAACCGGTAGGGGTCGTACTTTTTGGGCTCCGGGTACAGCTCGGCGTCCCACATGTGGTGGATTGTGACCCCGACGATCTTGCCCTTGGGAATCACGGTGCCGTCTTTCAACGCGAAGGTTTCGGTTGCGAGGCGGCGCATGAGGACTGACCTGTATTAGTTTGGTCTCGAAATTTCGCTGTGAGGAGGGTGTTGATGACATACTCGAGCTCACGGGCTGCAGACGCTGCGTTTCCTTGATGGCGCTGTCCATCCGCTTGAGACTGTGGATAGTATTTCTGGACCATCCGTGGCTCTCGACTGCGCCGATAACCTCCTGCCGCAGCTCCGCGACCAGATCCGGCCGGGAGACGATATCGAAGATCACCTTGGTCAGCAGATCCGACGCGGTGGGGATGGTGGCGAAGAAGAAGGCGATGGTCGATATGACGGGATCATAGGCCTCGCCCCGGTGCGCCGACTCTTCGATAAAATCCAGAATGTCGAGCTGCGGTTTCTCCTTGTTGCTCGCTTGCCTGGCCCGCTGCTCGCGCCGTTGGGCGATTACGGGGAGCAGCAGCTGCCTCAACTCCTGCTGGCGTCTGCGCAGATTGCGACACGAGGGCAACAGCCAGTGGACCAGAGGGATGGTCCATTCAGGCCATTTCTTCAGCACATAGATGGCCAGCACGTCCTTGCCCGTGTAGCTGAGGATTGCGTCCAGCCACCGAGGATTCCGGCTCAACTCCTCGCCGATATAAATGCGGCCCGCTACACTGGCGATGATCCTTGCTAGAGAGGGCTGGATATTGATGGCGTGCCACTCTGATGGTTGCGTATGAGCTATGAGTGGACTTGCTTCGACCCTTGGGGGGGGGGGGGGGAGGGAAGTACCTTTTTCATCCGTCCATACTTCGCGGATACTCAGCGAAGCTTCCTCGGCTATAGGCTGCACCACGGCAGCTGATCTCAAATTTGTACATTAGACGTGATCGCTCAATCTGAATAGCGACTTACGTATAGTCCTCGTCAGCCTCGCCACGATATCGTGGGTGATGCGGCCATGTCTGCGCCCATTTGAGAACGGTTCGAATCCCGGTAGGGTTGTATACAGATCCTGTCGACGAAACAATCAGCGCGCGACTCACACTGTTGTTCGAATCCGACTACCACCTACCTTCTCCAAGAATAATCCAGAATCCAGGCGTGTTTCGTTGCGCAGCTCGTGCGCGTAGCGCTGGCCGGAGAGAATCAACCGCTCACCAAGGTCGGTTATTATGAAGAATGCCTTGAACTATGGTCATAGGGTCAGTAAATATAGTACTGCTGGCACGGGGAAGGTCTCTACGCACTTTCGCCTCCGTAAAGCGGATCAAGGAGGCACCGCCTGCTGTAAAGCGCTGCTTGGCTTTCGCATACGAGACCTCCGCCCCTTTTCGAGTTTCGATGACGGGGATTTCCGTTGGGAACGATAGGTATTTCCATAGGACCAAGAAGAGAGCTGCTATCGCCCACGAGGCACTGGGGGGCAGGTGATCCATGAACTCGAGTATAGCCATAGTTGACCGTTCAGCAGTCGGTGCGAAAAGGTACTGGAGAGCAAGGATAGATGACACTCCCTTAGGCTTACTAATTGTATACTCAGGACTACATTACATCAGAGCATAGGACTGGTCTCTTCGAAGTTTGACAGTCATATATAATTCAGATACCCTTAAGGTGTGGTGACGTGGAGGAACGTATCTCCATCACCAGGCTTGAGACGGCGATCTAACCTTGTCTAGCATTGATCAAGTCCAATGAAGGCGGGGAATGCACTGTTGACAGTACACTTTTGTATTACCTTGTGCAGGCTCCGATTGGCCTGTAGAGACCCAAGACAATAGGCATTGTCGCAAGGCGGGCGCATATTCATTCCATCTGCACTATCGTTAACCTAACGAAAAGAATGGAACGCTTGTGTGCTTGCGTTGGCCTCTGGGGACGCGAGTGGCATTCCCAAAGGCTCGTTATTCCACTTTGCTGCCGCCATACTCCCTTGTTTACAGGTCAACAAGAGGCGCATATCAATTCTGATGGTTACAATACATGACACCTTTGCTGCTGCAAGTCCCATGATTCTCTTAGACGAAGACAGAAATTTCTCTGTCGTGCCCTGCGACGCAGCGGAGCTCATTTTGACACGGCATAGTAAGGGGTGGACTCCGATCATTCGTAGATACAAAATTAACTTAAACGCACCTCAATATTGCGTGAGGGATTTGGAACTAAGAAGATCTACGGGGTCTTATATAAAATACTAAGATATCAGGTAGTTTACCTATCTTACCAGTATTGAATGCCTTGGATCATACATCAAGAGGAAGCGGGATGACAGCAATTAACATGGTCAACCTCCTGGCAGTGGCAAAAAGCGACAATTGTAAGTCGCCAACCCGAGTGTCTGGAGACTACGGAGTACATTCCGTCTACTCAGAACGGAAGTCGCCCGGCAAGGAGTTCCTGCAAGGAGAGGTGGGGGCGCTTTGAGTTATCCAGACGGCAAGATGACTCTATGCACCTAATCAAGGAGGCTGGCTTCATTGAATGTCGGTGACGGCGTAAGGAACAGGTGCAATGCGAGAAACCCACAGAATTAGATTAGGGCCTGCTGGGCCTTGCAGCACGTTTGAAGGCTTGCTGGCCCAAGCTGCTTACAGGACTCCAAGTTACCAATAAGTCATAACCTCGCTGTTACCGGGGATCAGGAAGAGTATATAAAATCCCACGACGATAGAGGGCTGAACATCCCTAGCTGACCTGGCTATCAACGCTCCTGCCTTACACAGACCCTGACGACCTTGTATCCAACCATACCAGCCACGATGAAGCTCCCCTCCACCCTTCTCCTCCCAGCTCTCGCCCTCCCCTTCTTCGCCTCCGCCAGCCCGGTCCAATCCGCAGCCCCAGTACCATCCCCAGCCCCCGTCCAATCCAACCCCGATGCCCCCGTTATCACCAACAACCAAGACCTCACCTACGTGGCACATATCCTCCGGGATCCGCACAGCGGAATCGAAGGGGTCGTGACCGCATCGCCGGGGCCAAACAATACCGGCGTCCAGATCAAATTGCACTTCTCTGGCCTACGAGAAACGAGCAAATACCGTAATTTCCCCGTCCCAGCCCTCACCTGTTCTGTTCCACCCCTCGGCTTCCCCAACTCTGCTAAAAGATATACACAGTCTACCACATCCACTACCAACCCATGCCCGAATCCGGCGATTGCAAGGGCACTGCGGGACTTCTCAACCCTTACAACGCCCAGGAGGATCCCTGTAATGCGGCCGAGCCCCAGACCTGTGGCGTGGGTGATCTAAGCGGTAAACACGGGTTCCTCATCGCGGATGACTATGGCACTGTCGCGGCGGTGTACGAGGATAAGTATCTGTCCAACCAGCCGGATTCGGTAGCGTTTTTTGGGAATCGCTCCGTGACGATCCATGCGGATGATGGAGGCAGGTATAACTGTGGGAACTTTGAGTTGCAGTGATGAGCCACTGTCGTTGCCGGTATGATAGCAAAGCGATCTCAAAGATTTACTCTGGCATGGGCATTACGTGTCGTGGGGTTGGATTGTGAAGCTAGAAGCCCAATAGAATGTCTCTTCCCTGTCACATAGATTTGTCGGGTGCTCGCAGAGAAGAAACTATACGTACTCGGATGCAAGTACCGGTCTCCTAGATCTGAGTACTCTGACACCTAACCATTTTCCAATGTACAAAGCTTGTCCCATTCAAGCACTATCCTCTGATCCAAGTCTCTGGTAAATACAACATCCAGTTTACAATAAATTCTGCGAACAGATCAGACCTAACATCGCGCATGTTGAGGCCCGTACTGGTCTTGCTGTATGCAGTCCCCTTGCGGGAGGTTCCCACCACTATATCATCCCCCCTGACGTTAACTTCTAGTTTTTGTATTGGTCAATCTAGATCCATCCAACAGGGCGCTCGGGACAGGCTTAATTTAGTAGCATACTCCTCCTCCGCCGTTTCTAAATTGCCACCTTGGGCTGCAGAGACATTCTCTCTCCATTTGATGGAGCAAGGAGGTATACCAACAAATTATCTTGTGCCGTCCCAACCATATCCAATAGGGCTTGGGGCGCCTCTCCAGTTTGACATAGTCAACTTTCATTCTTTCAAAGGGATTAATTTCTTTGTATAAGTTGGCTTCCAGGCGTCACTCGTCAAGTGTGGGGATAGTAGCGCGGAGCGAAAGCAGCAAAGACATGCAGACCGTAACATCTCAAGCGATCGCCTTGGCCGCGATATTGGTCACTCAGGGAGTTGCACACTCGATACCTGACTGGGGTGCTCTCACCCCCTACCACGAAGTCTCTTCTTTTGGAGCCTCTGGCGGAGTTCCTCAGGGGTGCAGACTATCCCAAGCCCACGTCCTCCACCGACACACAGAGCGCTATCCAACCTCCTACTTCTTAGAGGGTGGTCAAGCCGAGGTTCTCGCCGACAAAGTCGCCACCTACCAGAGTGCACACCCTGATACCACCTTTGCCACGGGCCCGCTGGCTTTCTTGAACGAGTGGCAGTACACCTTCGCCGGCGGCGGCACAAACACGCTTCTTCCGTCTGGCACGACGACAGCTCATGCTGCGGGCGCTGCCTTCTGGAGCCAGTACGGGCGGCTGCTTTACGATGTGGGCACTGAGGATCCATTCTGGAGGGAGGGGTTGAATGTCTCTGCGAAGCTTGTTTTCCGGACGACTTCTGAGGAGAGAATTGTCGAGAGTGCAAAGTGGTGGTTGAGTGGGTGCCCGTCTACTTCACTCTATTCTTTCCATCGGTAGCGTCATGCTAATCTAAGCATATAGATGGATTCTTCGCAAATGCAGACGCGACGAGCGCCGAAGATCAATACAGCCTGGTTATCCTCCCCGAAGGACCGGGTCTGAACAACACGCTGGCGCCGTACGACGTTTGCGAGGGCGACATGACCGAAGGGTGCGTGAATCCTTCACCCAGTCCCACCCCCAACAACTAACCAGTCCGCAGAGAAACATCATTAACCCACGACTTCATCCCGCGCTTCACATCCAGCGCCCTGGAACGCTTCTCCGCCTACCTCCCCGAATCCTTCAACCTGACCGCGCTAGACATCTACGCCATGATGACGCTGTGCCCCTTCGAGACCAGCGCCTTAGGCGCCCCCTCACCCTTCTGCGGCCTCTTCACCGACCAAGAATGGAAGGACTACGACTACGCCTCGGACCTGCACTTCTACGGCGACTACGGGTTCGGCTCCCCGTCCGGTCGCGCCCAGGGGATCGGCTACGTGGTGGAACTCGCCACGCGCATCGCCGGGGAGCATCTCCACAAAGGCGACGTAGGCATCAACTACACCTACGACAACAACGAAGCCACCTTCCCCACCCAGCAGGCGGTGTACATGGACATGGCGCACGACGACACGATTATCTCGGTGCTCACGGCGCTGGGCCTGGCGCAATTCAAGGAGGGCCCCGCTGGTCTATCGGGCAAGGTCGATCATGCCCCCGAGCATCGATTCCGGACCAAGGATATTACCCCGTTCGGCGCGCGTCTGGTGGCCGAGATCTGGAGTTGCAGCAGCAACAACAGCAACACGGCGGACTTCACGGCCCTGCAGCCGGTCCTCTACCGGAACCCCGGGGTCGAGGAGGTGGCCGGGGGCACGGACTATATCCGGTTTGTGTTGAATGGGGGTCCGGTGGCGCTGGAGGGCCTCAGTGGGTGTGAGGATGCGGTGAATGGGTTCTGTCCGTTGGAGGGGTTTCTGGGCGGCATTGCGGAGCTGAAGGAGCAGGCGCAGTATGACTATGCGTGTGGGGCGGGGTATACGGCGGAGGGGCAGGTCACTGATGGGGTTCCGGTGTAGAGTAACAGCTTCTCTGGTTGGGATGCAAATCGTGGGTCAATCATATAGTTTCCATAGATTCCACGAAGGAAGTTGCGAAGAATTGACATATAAGATTTCGGCCCTCTCCGCTCGGATGATAGCACCACCGCTGCAACGGAGAGATTTACACCAAGCATTTACCCAAACCTGCAAGCTATTCCTGTCATCTTGAAAACCTCGGCCAATCCCTCTACGTCCGCTCAAGTAAATAATAAAGACCGTTTCCCGGCCACAGGCTGGCACCGAAGAAACGGCGGATCGACGAGGATGGTCATATTGTGCCGCAGGAGAGCACAGAACCTGCCACCAGATCAGCGCCTACCACACACTCGACCACGTTGAGTCAGTAATCGGGGCCACAAGCAGTACATACGTGGGATTCCGCAAACTCGGAAGACGCGAGTAGATCACCCGGTCGATGCCCTGATCTACCGTCCCGTCGTAGATTGTCCCATCCGGCAAGATGGGAAACTCAAAGGTGTCGTTCTTGCTGGCGCAGTAGCCGGTGAAGGTCAGGTTGGTCGGCGAGAGGCCCTTTCCGAATTGATGAGCGTAGCGTTCTGCCTTGACAGTTAGGGGAAGGCCCTTCTGGAAGATTGGGGAGGGGCTTTACCGGAGGGGGGCCCTGTTGGTGGGATCTGATGGGCACCCGTGTGCGTGACGGCGTCTCGCAATACGGCTTCAATGGCCGTGTCGTTGTATATATGTGCTGGTTTTGATAAGCGGTGGGCACTTGCGATGCGTTGTGTCTACCGTTTGTACGTACCTGGGAATGACAAGTTGCCTTTTCCTACGGCTGGACAGATGAGTTGCGGTGGTACATCGGAGGCATTGAAGAGGCCCATTCTGTGCGTCACATTCGGTGACCAAGTGGAAGTTGGTCGGCCCCAGGAGGTCTGGAGCCATGCAAAGACCACGAGGAATGCAATTGGCAGGGTGTTCATAGTGCGCATTTTCTAATAGTCGAGAGAGAGAAGGTGACAAGCGGAGCCTCCCGCGTTACAAACACTGGTATCAAAGATATATAAAGTCCCACGCCCAGCTGGTGTTAAGCGTGACTACATTGACTCGATCCATACTGGTAGTTACTAATCCGAGCTGGGGATCATAGCTATGCTGCTTCGTTCTGCCGACAAGGTGAAAACCCGACATAACGAGCGATGACACTGTCACGGTACGTGTGTTCATGGGCGGAGTGCAATACGGCCCAGTAAGGGAGTTTTCTTGGTCAATGCGTAAGGAAAGACTTCGAAGTGGAGACTGGAAGATGGGCAAACCCCCTTGCAGCAGTATTACATTGCCACGGGATGCCAATGTAGAAAGGGGGTAGCTTGAACAAGGATGATTACAATGTCTTTGTGGTTCAGGTAGCTTAGTTAATATATAGATTAAAATTCCGCCACTGCTCTTGCCGCCCTTTTAACCCATGATAACCGATTTTCATGGAGATGGTCCCAGTAGAGTATCTAGAGCTTCGGAAATAGACTACTTGACTAGGTCTCTCTCCTGTTAGAACACTGGGAACTTTTACAAGCTAAGAGCGTCCATTCTGATTGTGCTTTTCAATACCGGGTATTAGACAGTTTCACACCTCACAATATCCGACATGTATATATAAACATCTGTCCAATATAACTGAACGCTCTTCATTCCATACACGGTCTTCTACTTGCTAGCAGCATAAGCTAGTTTATAATACCTTCCTACTCTAAGGTAGACTCATGGCCTACACCAAGTTATTTTCGGTCCACGCCGAGCTGGGCGCCCAGTTTATACATGGAGTAGAACCGCGTTGGGAGAGCAGAGAAGAAGGTAAACTCAAGACCTGTAGTATTTCCGGTGGCACTGGAGAAGTGCTCTTGCTACAAGGAAAGAGAGAAGGGTCATTAAGCTATGCAGTGACCGCGATAGCCTTCCGTACCATCATCACTCCTTCATACTAGGTAATGAGGAATTGGATGCCTCCAAATCTTTGTCAGGCAAAACCTCTTAATCAAAGAACATATCGGAAGTCTGCGTCTGTGCGTTCAGTCTTTTCCACGGCGTCCGCTGAGATGTCTGGCGAGTGTGCTGCTGCATCCGCTTCACCGGGCTGAATGTCTCTTCGCTTATTCTGCCAGACAAGATAACAGCGCAGGACGACACACAACAGGGCAGCGAGCGAGTAGCACGTAAGCAAGGTCGTGAACGCAGTCTGCGGCGCGAGAACCTGTTATTCATTGCGTCTAGATGAGAGGGGGTTGCGTCGAACACGTACCGTATAATGCGGCGCTTCACGAGCGATGAAACACTGCGGCCCGACAAGGTTCCCTGCCGAATTGGCAATGAAGAACACAGCCAAGACGGTCGGCTTCTTGGTCGAACCTGCGATGTTGCATGCGAGGAGAGACAGCACGAGCGGCAGGGGGACCACCGACATGATCAGCCAGAATCCGGCAAGTCTGCTCAGCTTGTCCTCAGCGGGTAGCAGTTTGATCATCAAGGTGCCTGCAATGGCTAGGAGGTACCAGGCGGCCAGGCATAGGAGACGAGCATTCTTGATCTTGGATGTGACAACGGCTACGAGAACGATGGTGACGAGCTGGAAGGCGTAGGTGGGTAGGCCGATCAGAATGGTTTCGCCGGCGTTGTAGCCGAATCCTTCAATGATCAGGGTGGAGAACTAGATCCAGGTTAGGGTTGCTTCTTGAGATTCTGGAATGAGGGGCTTACACTCGTCGCACCGCTGTTCGGGAGCGCAATGACGAACGAGAATATGAACCACCACCACACATGGAAATCCGTTAGAGCGTCCTTCACCTGCGACCAATCCCATTTGCTGGTTTCGGTCGTGCGCTGTAGACGACTCAGACGCGAGGAAGCGAACTGGCGATCTTCTTGGTGCAGGAACCATGCGGAAGAAGGTGAGTCGGGGAGGTAGAAGAACAGCACTATCGACCACAGCAAGGTAAGAAGCCCTAGGGATATGATCTGGATCTAAGTAACGAGTTAGTTGGCAAAGCCTGCAGCAACAGAGACACTACCCACCTTCCACTTCGGAAACCCGCCCGTGTATTGAAGGGACCCGTAAGCGACGAAAGACCCTATAAGGCCTGCAAGGACGTTGCCCGTGAACCAGAACGAGTGGCGAGGAATTTGCTCATCATCGGTATACCACATGTTCGTGACCAAGGAGAAGCCTGCAGCATTGGCGCTGCCAAAGACACCGAGTGCAGCACGGAGAATCATGAGACTCTTGAAGTCTACTGCAACAGCATGTAAGGTAAGTACAATCCCCCAAAATCCCCTTGATTTGGTCAGTGATGTTTTGATTCCATAGCTTCGGCTCGAAATGGACAGGGCTGTACATGAACACGGCCAGGTACTTCCCCAGCGGAAAGCGAACAAAGCCCAGCGAAACGGGGTAAGACGCCACCAAGAACCCTACATCGTAGACCGCATTTGACCAGCTATATTGCTGACCTACCAAATTCTGTGTTTTGATTTAATTTCTGCATCTTGTAGAGCAGGGGACATACGTACCAGGTCTTCGTTCATCCCAAGCACCGCACTAAAGGCTAATGAGGTCTTGTCCAGCAGCTGCAAGCCGAAGCTAAAGAAGACAACCGGCATCAGACTGGAAACTGAAAGTCAGTACGAGTGTTCGAGAGTGTGCAAGGCTCTTCCCACTTACTACAGGTCGATCCTGCGGACCAGTTGCCTCTCATATTTGGTGTCCTGCACGTTGCTGCGAGCCTCCACGGGCTGCACGACAACCTGAGATGCATAATCAGGATGCTTCACCGACAGACTATGATCCATCGTTTTGCTTGATGCTTGTTGGTACTCGTATGGATCAAGGTTGGAGCTAAGATTTCATTGACGTTCGATGAAGTGGTGCGCAGCGGGTTAGTAGTAGCCCTGAATCTGGAATGCCATGATGAGACACGACTTTTACTCAAGGGGGAGTCAAGCAGTGTTCGGGTCTTCTAGCTCCGATAACCCTTGCTTTACCATGTCCGCAGCTCCTATTCGCGGATTCGACTGATGCCAGGGCTATATACAATCAAGGTCCCCTATCTGTACTCAGTGTAAAACGTGTGTGCTACTATAATATCAATCCAAAAGCTCCTCTCACATCCCAGTCCTCACCGCTCACCAACAACCCAAACAAGACGCGGGCAATGTCAGACCTGTACGAGCAGCGCATGCCGCGCTGCGAAGCTGAGGCCGAGAGGTTCGTGAACCAATCGAATTTCGATCGCCGGAAATCACTAACGCGCCTCTAGACTCGACGAGCAATACTCCCTGCATGGAGCGTGCGTAGCCCAACTCTCCCCTCCCAACCTGCGTCTAACCCAGCTAGCAACCTCGGCTACGACCTGCATCCCAGCGTCGAGCACCGGCTCCCCGCAGACGCACGCATCGCCGACATAGCCACCGGAACGGGCATCTTCCTGCGGCGAATCGCCCCCAGCCTCCCGGACACGGTCCTCCACGGCTACGACATTTCCGCCACTCTCTACCCGCCCAAGTCCGCCCTCGCGCCCAACATCGACCTCCGAGTCCTCGACGCCAAGCAGCCGATTCCCCTCCACCTGCAGGGGCAGTACGATGTGGTCCACGTCCGCAATATCTCCATGGGCCTGATGCCGGACGAATGGCCGGCGCTGGTGGCCAACCTGGTCACACTGCTCAAGCCCGGCGGCGTGCTGCAATGGGTGGAATGCGACGCGTTGCACGTGCAGCATCTCGGAGCCAGCCAGGGCTCGACCACCGCGGCTCTGGAGACGATGTATGGCATGAACCGCGCGCTGGTCAAATCGCGGTTCGAGGGGGGTTGGACCACCTTGCCGGGAATCCTGGAGCGACTGAGACTAGTGGATGTCGAACATCACACCGTTGGCACGGATCGGGTGGCCTGGACGCGGTCCAAGCTGACCGCTAATAGTATGACCTTTGCTTTTCTGTCTGCCCGCGCGGGGAAGGCGGGAGATGGGTCTGCGTTGAGTGGGAAGGAGATTGATCGGTTGGAAGAGCAGGTGAGAATGGATATCGAGTCCGGGGGCTATTTGCGGTATGATATTCATTGCTTTCTGGCTGTTAAGCCGCATCTTAACTAGATATGGGAAGATATCAATGCATTGCTTGGTCTTTTTGGGCGTGCTGGGTTTTCTCTCCATCCAATGCCGGTAGACCGAGTGTTTTGTTTTGTCTTAACCGGCAGTTTGCAGTTGCAGTCAGCAAGTCGACTGGCTGTAGAGCTTTCCCACAGCGGCTCTCGAATCTGGTATAATGCAAGTCATTCCCAGAGGCAATCAGCAGGTAAGGGCGAGGTTCGGTTGTTCAAATCGCCCGTTTAGGCCACAAGGTGTTAATTGGCAAAGATACAATACCATACCAGTTACTGCAAGGGGACTGGGTATCGACAAACCCGTTATCAAAAGACGGGACCTGTAATTACACAAGCAAGGACATAAGGCTTGTTGGATTGAGTATGCTGTTCTGTATGCTGCTCTGTACAGTCAATTGAGACTTCCTTCAGCATCGAGCGTAAGGGTTGATCGTGCGATACTCATTCTTCAGCTGGTATAACTATGGCTATGGACAAAGCTGCTGGATTGTTCGCAATGTAATTTACGAGACATCGTATCCAATCGCGCCATGCCCTATCTTCCTCGGTTCTGGCAGGCGCTGCTTGTCCTGTTGCTTACTCGCATAGCATGTTGCTCCACGCCCGTGTCGGGTGTTTCCACAAAGACAGTCTTCTTCAACGTCTCGTTAACATGGGAGGAAAGGGACGTCGCTGGTATCAGTCGCAAGCTCATCCTTACAAACGGTCAATTTCCGGCTCCGACATTGTCTCTCAAACAGGGCGATGACGTTGAGTTTCTGGTAAAAAATGATCTGCCATTCAACACGACTATACATTTTCATGGTACCAACATTCCCTGGACAATCTCTGGAGCTATCATGCTAAAAGCAAGAATAGGCATCGAACAACTGGGTACTCCCTGGTCAGACGGCGTTCCGGGCCTCTCACAAACAACCATCACACCCGGAAATCACTTCCTATACAAGTGGAAAGCCACGCAATATGGCAGCTACGTCTACCACGCCCATACCCGGGGCCAAGTGGAGGATGGCCTCTACGGGGCCATCTACATTGCGCCGGATGAGTCGGTCTCGAAACCGTTCCACATGATCACGACGGATCCAGTTGCCGTGCAAAAAATAGTCGACGCCGAGAAAGAGACGAAGCCACTCATCCTTTCGGATTGGCGCCACCTGAGCTCGGCCGATATTTGGAAAACTGAAGTAGCCTCTGGAATAGAGGCCTTTTGCGCCAATGCGCTTCTGATCAATGGCAAGGGATCCGTCACTTGTCTTTCTGAAGAAACGATTCGGGAGAATATGACGCCTCAGCAGACGGGTGCGTTGGGGGGGACATACAAGTTCACTGACATGGGGTGAGTACGTCTCTTTCTCGGTGCTAACGGCATGAAACTGACTCCTATGACTTTGTGAATAGCTGCATGCCCCCGATAGACAACATCCTGGGTGCGTATCCATTCAACAAGACGGCTGTCCCGAGCGGCTTCAACCGCGGCTGCGTCCCCACGGAAGGAGAAACCGAAATTCTCGAAGTGGATGGCAGCAGATCCTACGCGAGCTATGATCTGATAAACGTGGCCGGTCTCACCAACGTCATGTTCAGTGCAGATGAGCATCCAGTCTGGGTCTACGCAGCCGACGGGCGCTATATCGAACCGCAGCTGGTTGACGCGATCACAATCCCCATCGGAGCACGCTATTCGGTCTTGATCGCGTTGGACAAACCGGCCAGGGACTATACCGTCCGCATCGTGAACAACGGTATCAACCAGATCATCAACGGGACAGCTTTGCTCCGATATAAGACCCCGTTACCAGAGAATCGCACACCATACCAATCGCAGCCCGCCGTCGACCTCGCAGGCCGAAACCTTTCCATCTCCACGAGATACTTCGACGAGAACACTGTCACCCCGTACCCCCCACAACACCTATCTAAACAAGTCAGCGCGACCTACCATCTCAAAGTGGCCCATACCGACGCCGCCTATGGCTGGTACATGGGCAACGGCAGCTTCCTGCAGGCATACGAGAACTTCACGCCTCTGCTCCTCGACTCGGCTGCCCTCCCAGCGAACGCCACCATCTCCACGCAAAACGGCACCTGGGTTGACATCATCATCTCGGTGCTTAACATCGCCCAGCCCGCGCACCCCATTCACAAACACTCGAACAAGTTCTTCGTGATCGGACAAGGTCTCGGGGCGTTCAACTACTCCTCCGTCGCCGAAGCAATGGAGCATATTCCACAGAACTTCAACCTCGACACCCCCCAGATCCGGGATACATTCGCGACGCCGTCCTCGTCGCTAGGCGGGAGTTGGTTGGCTTTGCGATACCAAGTGGTCAATCCGGGAGCATGGCTATTGCATTGCCATGCGCAGGAGCATCAGACTGGCGGGATGGCGTTGGCGATCTTGGATGGGATTGATGCTTGGCCGGTGGTACCGGCGGAATATAGGAACCAATACTGAGTATCTAGACAGGTTTCGAAGTACATGATCGCAGTAAGATACTCAGCCTCGTGGTTAAGCTTTCTTTCATACTATTTCAAGGCATATCAATAGATCGTAAAGGTTGTGATCCGTGCGTTGTTCATTCTATTACAGGGGGCAGATCCATAGGTTTCGGCCAAGGAGGGCTAGCGAAGCTCAATGAAGTTGAACAGAGTGAAGCTACACTAAGCAAAGTAGACCTGAACAGGCGAATACATTCGGCCTATGCTGTCAAAGATTGCGAGTAAAGCCCAGTATCAAGATATGCTGAAACCTGTAGCGATGGTGATACCATTGCCTACTCCTTGCCTATGCTAGAACCACCAGCATACGGAATAGCAGGACGCGAACACAAGGGACAAGTCCCAAGCATGTGATATCACCTCAACCCCAAGCAAGGACGCACTGCAGCTGGTATGCAGCCTGCCCCACTGCGCGATCACCCCGGTGGCCGTTATCTCCTTCAGTTTACCCCCCCTGAGCCCCTCGTATGCTCAACCATCCCGCTCGGTGAAGGGCATAAGCAGCTTGATAGCATTTCCTATCCAGCGAGTACTACAGATTATCATCACCACCGCGAGAGATGAACAGGATACAGTTTGAGGGAGGGCATACAACCCCCGGTGCTCTTCTGAGATCTCTAATTTCATTGATTCTCGTCTACGCATTCACGCTTGTCGTCAATCGACTATTCTTCCATCCGCTTCGCAAAGTTCCTGGCCCCAGACTAGGTGCTCTGAGCAAGTGGTACGGCTTCTACCACAATGTCATCCGCGACGGCCAGTACAGTTTATCATTTGCATCACTGCACAAGAAATACAGTAAGTCACCGACTGTTTCCACAATTCATGTGCAGCGAAGCTCAGTGTCACAACAGACTCCCCCGTCATCCGCATCGGCCCCAATGCCGTCCATGTCCAAGACCCAGCATTCTACCAGGAGTAAGCACCCAACGCAGCGAACAAGATTTTTGGGGGACTAAAGCGTGGCCAGGATGTTCTCCATGACCACCAAATACTACAAAGAGCCGGACTTCTACAAGGCCCTCGGCGCCGAAGGCGCCATGGCCTCAATCCTCGACCCGAAACAACACCGGATGTACCGGAACCATCTGCGTCCGCTCTTCGCCAGCCGCGCCGTGGACAGCGTGATTCCGCAGTTGAAGGTCGAGCTGGAGAAAGCGACGCGGATTCTCAAAATGCACCATGCAGAGGATCGGCCGTTGAATATCCAGTCGATGTATCGGGCCTTTACGGTACACCTCCGCGAATATTGACCATCTAATGTGTTGGGGTGCTAACCATGGCACAGTCGGATATGGTCTGCGAGCTGCTCTTCGGCGAAACGCCCAACTTCATCGGCGACGGGGATGGATTCCATCCGTTCGTGGAGGCGCTGGACAAATTCACTGCGTTTTCGTGGCTCGGTAGGCGAGACCTCTCGAGGGCGGGAAGCTATCACTGACCTGGATTGCAGTGGTATATTTCCCTTGGGTCAAAGCGATCCCATACGTCCTTCCCTTTGGCCTAGGCGACAAGCTTGCCCCGGAATTCAACGACTTCAAACGCGTACGCACGCTACCCCATCCACATGCTCCCACATTCTAACCAGCCCCAGCAATGCAAAGTCTGGGAAGCCGAAGCCCAGGCCAAGCGCCAGGCGGGTCTACAGTCCGAGCGCAAGAACCTATTCGACTACTACGCGGAGCTCCTGGCAGGTCCCGAGACCGCCGTCAGCGCCGTGGCCCAGCCAGCCGAAGACGCGTTCAATTTCTTGACGGCGGGAACGGAGTCGACGGCCTATACCCTGTCCTGCACGCTATTCCATATCCTCAATAACCCGGAGGTCTTCAAGACTCTGCGCAAGGAACTGCACGAGGCGGAGGAGTTCATACGATATGACTTCGATGCGAAACGTATTCAAGCGTTGCCGTACTTGGTATACCCCCTCAACTGCCGCATTTCGTGCGACTTGCGCTCCCCTCTCTAACGGAAAACTGCCGATAGGGAGCCATTATCAAAGAGACTATGCGGATTTCGACGGCGGTGCCGGGCAATCTGCCGCGGATGGTGCCGCCGGGGGGCGTTACTGTGGGCTCAATCTTTTTGCCTGGAGGGGTGAGTATTAACCCTAAGACGGGACTCGAGTGTGGTACAGACAACTGACGGTAGGCGCAGACTGTCGTCTCTTCCAGCCACCTCTCCATCATCCACAATGAGACCATCTTCCCCTCGCCGCACAAATTCGTCCCGGAGCGCTGGCTCGGTGAGAACGGCAAAGATCTGGAGAAATGGCATGTTGGGTTCAGCCGGGGTCCGCGGCGGTGCATTGCGGCCAGGTGAGGCCCACCTCAACCCTAGCTCTTTCAGCCCTGGTGACTGACCCTATCGCAGCCTTGCATATCTCGAGCTATTTTGCGTCACCGCGTATGTGTTCTCGCGGTATGAGATGACCTTGTTCGAGACGAACGACAGCAGCATGCAGTGGGTGGACCGGATCAGTGCAAGGAATAAAGAGGATGTGCAGGTTAGGATCGTAGCCGATCGGTGGGCGACGTTGTGCAAGGAGGAATAGAGAAGGTTGTCAGTTGGAAACGTGAGGGGTGATTGTGGTTCGGTGCCTAAAAATGAGATTTACATCTGTTTCTGTTTGTGCCTACCGTGCTTGGTGCAGCGCATTGGAATTTTCCCTGCGTCGTGGCGAGTGCTGTACCCTTTCTCATAGTCTGTGCCCATCCCTTGCGTTTGTCTACTGGCTAGATGTTGCGGTGTAAACAACGGAATGTCGATCTGCCGCCTGTCCCTTCATCGTCCCGAAGGGGGTGATACCCTGCCTCCAGCCGTCTCTGCCCTGTCATCGAGACTAGGTATACAGGTATACAGTCCACTTGGGCCAACCTGAACCTCCCAACGACTCCCATCCATGAAACCAAAGCTCCAAAGATGGACCAATTGGCCAACTTACCCATGCTCCCCAGCGACGAGACTACCGCTCGACTACTGACAGCCTTCGCGGCGGGGATAGCAGCGCATGTCACCATCTTCCGCCTGGGCGAGTGGGACGTCGCCGCCGCCAAAATCCCCGCCAGCCTCTTCCTCGTCCAGTTCGGCCTATTTATCTACTACCTCTTCTTCGCCGGACCCCCAACGGCGCCCGGGACAGCTCTCTGGCTCGTGGGGCAGGTCACCGCTGCCCTGATCGCGGGGACCAGCACCAGCATCCTTGTCTACCGCGCCTTGTTCCACCGCCTGAATAGCTTCCCCGGCCCGTTCCCTGCCCGCCTGTCGATATGGTACGTGACGAGCCTCTACGCCCGCAACCCGGACGCCTTCAACGCGATCCGCGGCCTGCACCAGCGATACGGCGACTTTGTGCGCACCGGGCCGACCGAGCTCTCGGTGAACCACCCGGATGCGTTGCACGCGGTGCACTCCGGGCGGAGCGAGTGTACGAAGGGCCCGTGGTATAGCATGCTGCATCCGTTCATCTCGCTGTTTGCCATCCGGGACAAGGCGGAGCATAGTCGACGACGCAAACCGTGGGAGTTGGCGTTCCGGCCGAATGGTGTGTCTCCCCCTAATTGCTGCCGGGTGTGATAATGCTTTGCTGACGATGACAGCGGTCCTGGAGTACCTACCTGCGCTGGAGAAGGGAACGAACGAGCTGGTGCAGCAGGTCGAGAAGAACCAAGGCAAGCCAATGGACATGACCTACTGGATCAATCTGTTCACCTTTGACGTATGGCGCTCCTCGTCCACAACACTGCCGGAATTTTCAGACTAATGGAGCAGTTGACCGGCCGCATCGCCTTCAGCCAAGAGTACGAGTGCGTGAAGTACAACAAGAAGCACCCGATCATGGAGATCAACGACTCATCGAACCTGGTGACCGGGGTCGTTAGCCAGGTGGTGTGGCTGATCTCGTTCATCAAGGCGACGCCGGGCCTGAACGCCAACATGAAAGCCTTGATCGGGTTCTCCGAGGAGCAAGTGCAGAACCGCCAGAAGATGCAGACGCACGGGCGACGCGACGTGTTTTCGTGGCTGTGGGAGGACTTCCAGGAACAGGGGATTGAGACGCCGCAGTCGCGGCTGGATTTGGTGGCTGATGCCTCGCTGGTGATTTTTGCCGGAAGGTTCGTCCCCCCGAACAGCATGAACCCCTTCCCCATCATTATCACTCACTATGGCCCTGTAATATCCACAGTGGCACCGTCGCCGTAACGATCATCGGCTGCTTGTACTTCCTGACCACCTCCTCGCCCACCTACCTCCAGCAGATCCGCGAGGAACTCGCCGCCCTGCCCGAGCTGAACTCGCACACCCTGACCAAAGCGACCACCCTCAACGCCGTGATCAACGAGACCCTGCGCCTGCACTACCCGGCCCTCTCGGGCTTCCAGCGCCAGACCCCGCCGGAGGGGATCACCATCGGCGGCCGCTACATCCCCGGCCACACCAACATCAAGATCCCCTTCTACACGCTCTTCCGCGACGAGCGCAACTTCGCAGACCCCGAGAAGTTCATCCCGGAGCGCTGGACCACCAAGAAGGAGCTGGTGCGCAACCCTGAGGCGTTCGCGCCGTTCCTGCTTGGTCCGTATAATTGTCTCGGCAAGAGTCTGGCGCTGATGCAGGTGCGCCATGTCCTGGTGGAGTTGATCAGGCGGTATGAGATTGAGCTGGCGCCGGGGGCGGATCCGGACGCGTATTGGAGGGAGAGGACCGATGGGTTTGTAATGGGGCTGGCGCCGTTGGAGTTGGTGTTTAAGGAGAGGGAGGCGCCGGCTCTGTAGATTGAATGGGCGATTGAAGATGTTGCCGTGCGTATCGTCGCGTGTGGCGTGCAGGGTTGGATAAAATTGGAGGTGTTCTATATGGTCTTGCAGTGCAGTGGGATATTATGCTGCCTTAACCTCTACATTATGTTTGATGCTATTGGAGGATACACTTTGATTCCTTACCATGCTTTAATGATGCCCTTGGACGGTGGTGTAACCACACCCTTCCCTTTGGCACGAAATATCGGACCGTTTGAGTCGCTTCGGATTTTCTCTCCGGCGGACTTGCTGAACCTGAGCCACAAATATAGGACAGATCCTGCGCACCCTGGTTGGGGTCGAGCGGACGAGGGGAAAATCGGAGGTTGCGTAGAAGGGTATCGGAGAGAGGGAGGGCAGCAGGCTGTCTCTGCTGTTTTGCAGCATGGGCGTATGGATCAGTCGTCGTGTCCCATTCGTGTCTCGCGTCAACACTATTCGATTTACTTTTGAGGAATGACCCAGACCTCCCCTACCCCTTCCAGCGCAGGGCATTGGATTGGAGCAGTCTCGTAGGCTGTCCGCTATACAAATTGCCGTTCTGCTTAACAGATCTACTGTTATACGGTCTTCGGTGCTTGGATGATCTTATCGGCTATGTGATATGGCCGGGATTCGGCCTAGATATCATCACATATTGGAGACAATTAGAAACCGATTTGGGAGTATTTACATATTGGTATCTTAGGCCCTGTCTCTCGACCAATGATGCAGAATATATGCATGTGGATAAGCTACCCCGCGTCGCTGAATTGGGTGTCAATTTTGGTAAGTGGAGGAAATGCTACGGACGAAGCCGGGAATGAAACCAAGATCTGGCTACCGAACACTTAAGATTGATTGCTGGAGAATCGGCAACTAACTTCAACTCCGGTCAGCAGCATGTAGCCTACAGTTTGCATTATTGTAGGAGGAATCGGGTTATATCAAGCTGGACTCTGGACTCTCTTGACTTGAACACGTCACCTTGCATGAGCCCATGCCATTTTTCAGCCATAAAGTCATGCTGGCGCACCCCTCTCGAGTGCCATGCAAGATCTTTCGGTACAATGCCTAGACACAAGGTCCATCGCTCAGAATGGCTGAAAGGGGCTCTTCAAGAAAGAGAAGCCCAGCGATAGCCACCAGACAGTCTCTGCCAGCAAGCCTAAACATCCCAGACAAGGGGAACCCGCCACTTCCCCACCTGTCCCCGATGCGCGAGGCGAAGACATTATCCGATCGTCCCCCGCAACAGGTGCGGACACCGAGACGGAGGACTCGCATGGATCGTTTCAGAAGCAGAGCTCGAAGATGAGCTCGAAAGATGAGCGCGATGCCACGCCCGCAAATAAATCAGAAGATGCGCCCGGAGATGATGCCCAAGGCAAGCCCAACGATGACGCGCAGTACAAACGGACAGCTCTTTGGAGCGCAGCGTACGAGAAGCTCGGTAGCGAAGAGCGCGACCTGCTCAAACGTTAACAAAACGAGATTCTGGAGCAGAGCGAAAAGAGGGGGCAGAAGGGCACCGCTGATTCGGATACTGAGCGACAAGAACGGGTGGAAGCGATCATCCGAACCGAACTGGACAAGCTGGAGGCAATGTTGTGCTTGGAGCATTCCGATACAGGCCTTCAAGATAGGCTCCAGCTCTGGGATGCAGTCGAAGGGGAACATTTACGTTCATTTCAAAGGTCTGTCAGCTGATCCGCGTCATTTGGTCTCGAAGGAAGACTTAGATTCGTGACATGGGATGGATTGGTAGAATCCCGGGATCCAAGGGCAAAGACTATGGGATCTGGCATAACCACTGGCCGCCCGATCGCACTTTTCCACCCCAGGTCGATTCTTACATTTTGGATACGATTTTCTCAAGTGATGGGTCAAGGTTTCGAACAAAAGCAAGGTCTGGCTTAGCGAGTGTCTGAGATGCCAATTCATGGAGCCCGACAGAGCTCCATACCTTATCAGCACCTGAGGGCTATGAGCTTGATTTCGGGTGGTCAGACTACTCGCTCGATGCAGGCTTGGTGGCTGTTCCGTCAAAACGCGAGACCTGGAGCATTGGGACCTGGAATCTCTCAACTGGGCAACGTTCACAGACTATTGATTCTAAAAGGCAACCATACTATATAGTCATTTCCCCGGATGGAAGGCTGATAGCTGCGAACCTGCAATCGCCGTTCGATAATCTCATTTGAAATGTAAGCACGGGTAAGGCCGTCAAGAAGGTTGAGGGATTCGAGGTAGCGTTTTCTCCAACTGGGACAATGGTTGCCATCTTACATCGGAATTTAATTCAGCTATGGGGCACCCATCTCTGGGAGAAGATGGGTGAGCACAAGGGGAACGAGCTCGGGTTGGTTGATGGGACATGGATTGGAGGTGCTGGTTCTCCCGAGATGAACGATGGCTCTGTACGAGAAAAGGGCATGTCAGAATTGCTTTAATCCTTGGCCCAAGCCAGGGTCCCTTGGGAAGAGAACTTACCTTTCACAGAACCCGGGGCTCTATGGCAGAAGGAGGACAGGAGCTGATCGTGATTCCTCGCTCTAACGTTCCTGATTATATGTTTTTCCCTGATCCCTCGGTTGCTGATTTCACTGTCACGCTGATTTATGATACTGGGCCGGATGCTACCATCAAATCCGACGATTCCAAGAATAGAACAGTTAGGTATTCTTGCATTTTATCACCTGTGTCGAAGGTCTATAACATGAGTCTCCCGCCAGCCTTTTGATTTGTCTATTTTTCTAGCCTTGGCCTGTGATCACCCCCCTGAATGCCCCATAACGAACGCCATATACTTCCCGGCGCGTCGTGCCGGAGGGACAGGGGAAGATACCGGCTCGCATGTACATGACTGGCCACTAATTCATTGACTCGGAGATTTGAGGCCAGTGGGCGGAAGAAGAGGGCGCCGATTGTCCCGTGGCTTACTCGTCTCACCTTCGGCACGGTGTTGGGCCTAGTTCCATTGAATGTCAGTGACTGAGAAGGGGGACCTTGGTTAAGGTCATGTGGATTTCGCGGCTGGATTCGAGAGGGCTGATTTGCCCGATCCCGTGGTGGTCTGAAGGGGCTCTTATTCTTGGAGTTCAACCTTGCCAGAAAGTCGGGGGGTTCTTCTAGAGCTAAAAGAGGAACGAATTGAAGGTTCAGACAGGCGAGAGATAACACATAAATCGGTCGGGGGTACCGGCAGCTTGGTAGATTGTTCAGTTCAATTCAACTCAACTCAATTTCTATCAAGCCAGTTGAGCTAAGCCCGCCAATCAGGATGAAAGCATTGCAACTCTGAGCCAAAAGAATGTTAAGACAATTATCTACTCGATTGTTCGCTCCAGTGGATCCTGATTCCTGTCAGAATACCTACTACTTCCAAGGCCTGCGGCAACAGTCACGTGTTAGGTAAGCGAGCTGGTCAGCAAGCGCGGTATGAGTTAGCACTGCTCGACAGGAGATTTATCGAATGTGATGAATCCTGGTCGACCCAGAAGAGCTGCCACCAGTTGAGTTCCACCGGGGCCAACTGTTGTATACATTACCTGAAACTTATCAATAGTTCCATGTCCACGTGACCAAGTAAGTTACTTCAGTAACGCCCGACTCGATCCCGTGTTCCTGACAGCCTCAGCCACTAATTCTGTTGCAGGTTTCTCACCATGACACCCTTCACCCCAAGTGCCAGAAATCTTTTTAAGAGGCAACTGTATAAAACACCATTCTTTACCAAAACAACCTTGTCAAATGGAAGCACGTCAATCAAGAAAGACCACATTCAAGTAAAACAGACTATGTGAGTTAAATGGGTATCTCACATATCATACACAGGGATTGATGCTGAGTCTGAAAGAACATGTAGGCTTGGTGTACCGTGCTCTTCACATGAGTAGATCCATGTATTGTACAGTAGATGTATAGGATACTCGCTTAGAGAGTTCGTTACAAACCAAGTAAAAAACATAAACGAAGTAGCTCGGGAGTACAGTAAGTACTGTATGCCGCGAGGCCACCTGGAGACTTGGAAAAGTCTATATCCGAGGCTTACAATCACTCGTCTAGACTTTCTTATTCAATTTAGGGGATACAGTAAGTTTATTGACTACTCCGTAAACTGCGGTTGGATACTGGGTAGTCCTCAAAAACTTTTCAAATCCTCGGCGTTCTTGATCCTGAAAGTCCTGACTGTATACTCTTACTTAGTACCCGGTGCCCACAGACATCGTTTTTCGCCACTTCTCAGCTACGTAGTAGTTACGAAGAATAAGAATAGAATAGCCAATGATACGGGTTTCACAGCCAATCCTGTACCAGGATTACCACACGGGCTTTTCCTATCTAGGACTGACTTTAATTCCGGGAATTGATCCACCACGTACTTCCTACTTTGCGCGCGAAGAGAGGCGGTGGAGGGATTTGGTGCTATTTCCGATATCTACAGTAAGTCCCTCTCTATGTAGCAGAAATATAGTAAAAGCCAAGGCTAGTTGAAATTAGTTGTTGAGAGGTTAATCAGGGCTTCTATATTACTGTTTGATTGCCTAATTGCCAGCAGAAAAATGCTTCTAGCAGAATCTTAGAGTAATAAGTTGTAAGAAACCTGTTTCAAAGTGAATTCTTGCTGTTTTGATATCTTATCTAAGATAGCTTATATATAAGTTTTTTACTGAAGCTGTCGCATTATTCTAAGTCTTGGTCTACTTTACAAGTTTCCAGTAAAGATTGTTTACAGAGTTTGGCTGCTAGCTTCCTTCCCTCGTAAGGCGCACCGTAGGGCGTGAACAGGCCGGGCTTTGCCAGGCATTTCCTAAAAGAGCTCCGTGTACATACAGGTCGTCATCGAAGCCCGAGTTTTATCATCATCAGCCTTTCCCAAAAGAAAATCCCCAAAGCTTTGAAATCACACTTGTTTTGGTATCCTGTAATACACACAGGCGGTATATATAGTGCCCAAATCCTACACCCAGACGGCACCGTAACCCACTATCCATCAAGCAAGCCACAGTAACAAACACTCACCCACAGCATGTCCTCGTGAGAAACACCCCCTTCCTTTTGCCCCGCCACTGCGTCCATATACTCCCCGGAATCCAACACTGACACTGACACAATCACAATGCTTCCCCAGCGCGTCCGAAAGGTACCTCGCCCTCACGCAAACCAAGGGCAAAATCTCCCCGCAGACAGCCCGCGATCTTTTCGACCAACTCCCGCCCATCAAACCCTCGCAACTCCTCGGCAGCTGGAGCGGAGGGTTCCTCAACACCGGCCACTCCATGGAACCCAAGATGGAGGAGATCCAGTGGGTGGGCAAGGAGTTTTATTCGGTGGATGACGTCGACCCCGTGATTGTCTCCCGGGACGGCCAGCGAGCCAGCTGGGGGCAATGGGGGCCTGCGACCGTATGTTTCCGATTCTCCTTGGATTTGAATCAGATCGGCCAATGCTGACATTCGAGTCTTGATGCTGAACTAGTTGCGAGAGATGGTGTATCGCGGGGTTCTGTCGACGGTGATGATCTACGACGACCGCCCCGTGTTTGATCACTTCCGGTACGTGGAGGAGAATCTGGTGGCCGGGATTATGGAGGGGAAGGCGGTTGAGGGCGGGGATTTCCATTTCTATCTGCGGCGGTAGGATCGGGGTGTGTGTATCTTTTGAAAATTGGATTAGAGAAGCAAAAATGAGCTAGCTTGTCATTTCCAGCGATAGGAACCCTGCTCAGTGGCATGTTTGCATCGGGAGAATGCAGCAGAGGAGTAAAGGTGCAGACACGTGGCGAGAAATCACAGACTAAGCCCTATCTCGGGTCTTGTAGCGGCATGGCAATCAATTCAGATTTTTGTAGGGAAAACAAAAAGAAGAAGAAGAAGAAGAAGAAGAAGAAGAAGAAGAAGAAAAAAGTGAGGAGAAATAAGGACAAAAGAGAAAAGAAAGGAGAAGGGAAACTGAATCGTTCAAGCCGAGTATATGACAAGGAATTGCGCATGCAGGTCAAACCCCCGAGTGAAAGTTACAGACTGCTCAATATTCAGAATCAAACATGTATTCAAACCAAAATCACAACCTCTATAGTCTATCACGGTCTATAATACACACACTCCAAGCAAATTCAATCCCATGCACTACTTACATACCAGCTTAATCGAATATCGACGCCTTCATCGAGTTAGGCTGGATGTACTCCGACGCATTGCGGAAGCTGGTGAACCCCCAGCGGATCTGCGCGGCCATGGCGATCTCCACGTCCAAGTCCTTGGCAAAGTGCCACGCCAGCCCGGTGTCGCGCTGGAACGCTCGTCCGACCAGGATAACGTCCAAATTATCCTCGTTCAGGATCTTCTCGGCCAGAACCCCGTTGTTGATCATCCCGACCGCCGCGACGAGCAGCCGATCGCCAACCGCCTTCTTAACCGCCGCGGCGAAGGGGACCTGGAACCCGGGGCCCCCCTTGATCTTCTGGGCGCTCGAAATGCCCCCGCTGCTGATGTCGATCAAATCCACGGCGCCTTGCGCTGCCAGCGCCTCCGCGAAGCGGACGGTATCGTCCCCCTTCCACCCGGCCTCGCTCTCATCCCAATCGGTCGCCGACACCCGCAGGAAGACCGGGACATCGGCACCCACCGTCTCGCGCGTGAGCTGCGCGATCTCCAGCGGTAGACGGACGCGATTCTCCCAGCTGCCACCATAGCGATCGCTGCGCTGGTTCGAGGCGGGGCTGAGGAAGCTCGAGAGCAGGTAGCCGTGGGCGGCGTGGACCTCGATGAAGTCGGCGCCGGCGGCCAGGGCGCGCCGGGTGGCCGCCACCCAGGCCAGCTTGAGCTCCTCGATCTCGGCCAAAGTCATCGCCTGGGGCACGATCCCGTCAGCCGAGAAGGGAATCGCGCTGGGGGCCTTGACGTTGTCTGTCCAGCCGCCGACGGCGTTGGTGGCCACCCCGCCGCCCAGCCAGGGGGGCAGCGTGGAGGCCTTGCGGCCGGCGTGCGCCAGCTGGATGCCGATCTTCTGGCCCTGGCTGTGCGCGAACTCGATCACCTGCCGGATCGGCTCGATCTGCGAGTCCTTCCACAGGCCGACGCAGCCGGGCGTGATGCGGCCCTCCGGCACGACCCCCGTGGCCTCGATGATCATCATCCCCGGGCCGCGCTGCGCGATCCCTCCGTAGTGCGTCGTGTGCCACGGGGTCATGTGGCCGTCGTCGGCGCTGTATTGGCACATGGGTGCCAGCTGCGGGAGGCTTAGCTTGCTATCCGCATGAGATGTTCAGAGATCTGCGACCGAGGAAAGATACTCACTCCTAGTCGGTTCTGGAAGGTTTGACCGCGGATGGTCAAGGGCTGGAAGAGTTTCGGGATGGGCTTTCCACTGCTTTGAGGGTTGCGCGCCGTGCCCGCGGGGGCAGTCTGCGCCGGCGTGTAGAAGGAGACGCCCGGGGCGGGCTGGACGGGAACATCGGGCCAGTTCGTCATTGTGTCGATGTTGTCGTTGATGTTGATGGTAGATTGCTTGTGATGGGTAATAGAATGCGAATCCAATGCGTCATCTGGCCGGGCTGTAGGATCCAACTTTTATAGTCCCCCCGGGAGGACCATCGAGTAGTATAGCCATGCTCGAACATTCGGCTCAGCATTGCCTTTCAAAATGATTTCTAAGCTGCGAGGCGTGGAAAATGATTTCCTGGCTCAAAGCTATTTTCGGCGGCCTTAGTAATACTCACAGTTCAGGGGTTGCGCGGTTCTAAGGTGGGAAAGCTCTGATTCGGGGGAGAAGGGTATGGGTACAGGGCGTGAAGGGCGCAGCAAACCCCGGGATCCACAAGTCCAGCACAGTAACTAACTACTGTACATCAAGTGTTCTTGGCGCTGACATGAGCATGTTCCATGGCTTGGAGGTGTCTGATGGCAGTTGACTTTTCTTTGCTCCGAATGCCCCGAACCCATCAAGTGTCACTCTAATCCTGGCACATGTGGCGGATGGCATGGGCTAATTCCGCCAACGGTGATGTTCCTCCCTGCGGGGAAGCCAACCCCGAACCTTGTGGGCGATGAGAGTCTTCCTACGTCATACTACCAGACCCTTCACAATTACTCGTATTTAGACCACTAGCAACCATAGTAGCACAAAAGGTCCTCTTGCATTACAATTCATCACAACTAGCACCTGAAATCTTGCAGACTTAATCAAAATTCCCCCATGTAAAGATGCCCTCAGCAATCGTGACCGGAGCCACCGGTATGCACCCCGTGTCTCCGCCCGGCCACCTAACCCTAACTAACCATCAACCCCAGGAATCACCGGCAGCGCCATCGTGCACCACCTCTGTAAAGACGACCAGTACGACAAGATCTACTCCCTCTCGCGCAGCAACCCGGGGTATGCCAGCCCGAAGGTGCAGCACGCAACGCTGGACCTGCAGAGCTCGGCCGAGGATATGGCCAAGGACCTGCAGGGGGTGCGCGCCGACTACGTCTTCTTCTGCGCCTACCTGGCGCGCGACGACCCCACCGACCTCACGCGCATCAACGCGACCATGCTGCGCAATTTCCTCCGAGCGCTCGAGCTCACCGGCGCGATCAGGCACCTAAAGCGCTTCATCTTGACCTGCGGCTTCAAGCACTACGGCGTGCACCTGGGCCACTGTAAGCAGCCGCTGCAGGAGGATGACCCGTTGCTTGAGAGCAGCAGCGGCACTTCCTGGCCCCCGATCTTCTACTATGAACAGGAGCGCATCCTCACCGAGGCGGCCGCCCAGGGCGGCTGGGAGTGGGTGGTGACCCTCCCGGAGGACGTCCTAGGGTACGCGCGGGGCAACTTCATGAACGAGGCGACCGCGCTGGGGCTGTACTGCGCCGTCAGCAAGGTGCTCCGGGGCTCCCTGCTGCCCTATCCGGGCTGCCGGGCGAACTACTTCGCCTTCAACACCTGGACCTCGGCGAACCTACACGCCAAATTCTGTCTCTGGGCGGCGACGGCCCCCGACGCGGGCAACAACATCTTCAACGTGATGAATGGCGACACCGAGAGCTTCCAGAACCTCTGGCCGCGGCTGGCCCGGCGGTTCGGCTGCACACTCCCCAACCCCATGTTTCCCGGCGGTGGCGGGCCCGATTCCGCGGGGTTCGGGGATTATGAGGCGACTTTGGTGCGGATGGAGAATCTGCACCCGCTGACGGAGCATGAGCAGGCGATCGGGGTCCGGGCGGAGGGTCCGCCCACCTTGTTCCTGCAGGTCGATCCGGAGAAGTGGGCGCGACGGGAGGATGTCAATGCGGCGTGGGGTAGGCTGCGGGATACGTATGGCCTCGACCAGAAGGCGTGGGAGAAGGCGACCTGGGACTTTTTGACGTTCGTGCTGGGAAGGGATTGGAGTTGTGTGGGGACGATGAGCAAGGCGCGGAAGCTGGGGTGGACGGGCTATGCGGACACGTGGGAGGAACTGGAGGAGACGCTAGAGGTGCTGGAGAAGGAAGGCGTGCTGCCTCCGGTGGATAAGTTGAAGAAGGATTTCTAGGCACAGTCTAACACGGTCGGTTACAGTGCGAATGAGTACATAATAGCTTTTCAAATTGGTTATATGATTCTTCAGGTTGTAGCAGGGCCCGCTACGCATCCTTGCCTGTCAATGCTTTTGCATTCTGATGTATCAAGAGAGACAACGCCGCGATGCTGGCCGACTGATGAAAGAGTGAGTCTTGTGGCACGGGTCTTCAAGCCTCACTGTATATACAGTGAAGCTTTAAGCCCCCTGATTCTGGGCGCGAAACCATCTTTGAGAAGGTGAACGCGCTGAGAATCCATGATTGTACTGTACTGTAGTGTACGTACGTCCCAACCCCGCCTCCTCGCGATGTCAGGTACGGTACAGTACAGTATTACACATGCTCTTCGTACATACTAGCACGACCGATGGGACAATGATCAAGCTAAGTAGCAAGTATTCGAGAACCTTTATTTTCTACCAAGCACGATGCAATATAGTTCTCGAGGTGTGAGAGTGTGATAAAGGATATATATGCCAGAAATAACATCCAGTAAATACGAGATCAGTTGGTCTTCTCAGCTGCTGCTACAGCCTTCAGCCCCGAACAAACGGCGCGTCTCCACAATCAGATCCTCGACTTGTAGGCGAGTATATGTAAATGACCATCGATGAATTCTATGATTCGGCTTAAGATGATGGTACGAGTTCCCCAACAATCGCAGAGGCTTGCTAAGGAGTTGTCGATGGTAGGTGTGTCCGTGGCGGAGGCCAATGCGATGCGCGCCCTAGGGCGTGCCCCGCCGCGCCCTAATTGATCCTGCCGCGCCGTCAGAATTTTTCACCATCCCATAGTTTGGACAGACTATCAATTCCTTGCATTGCGTGCTCGGTTCCTCTCTGATCGGAACAGTCTGCATGAAAGGACAGTACCAACACACAGCAACCCTGTTCCCCAAACCCGACCTACACAGTCCACCTGAACCATCTACATCCCCACCCCTACCGAATTAAAGAACATATTTGTAGTATTGGCTACGTGCTGAAAGAAAAGAAGCAGAATATCTATACTAATGTCCCCAAACCTCATTCCCGGTCGAGGAAGAAGACTTCCCGGGGGAGAACCCCCGGACCCCCCTTTCTTTCAGCTCCCCAGCAACACACAATCCTAAGTCCTAGAATACACACTTTCCGGGGGTTCTCCCCCGGGACGCCCGCCTCCCCCCCTCTCCATAACAGCGCGCATCAGCCCCTCATTCACACCCACATCAACGCCCACCTCCCTCCCCCGCCGCACCCAATACCCATTAATAAACCTTACCTCCGTCTCGCGCCCGGCCCGCAAGTCCACCACCATCGAGCACGTCGTCTCCCGCGTGCGCTCCAGCACCGTGTTAACTGTGTCCTCCAGCCGGTCGAGCGCGAACCGCGCCGCCACGCCCTCGACACCGCGCAGCTCGGGGAGTCGCGGCACGATGGCGGAGACCTCGGTCAGCACGGCGCGGCGCAGGGCTGGCTGGGTGAAGAGGAATTTGTTCGGGGCGTTGTGCAGCGCGCAGACGGGGTTGCAGAAGGCGTTGACGGCGAGTTTTTCGAGTTGGAGTTGCAGGATTTCCGCGTAGGTGGTGTAGGTTCTTGCTGTGAGGAGGGGGGAGCGGGGGAGGGACTGGAGGAGGTAGTTTTCTTCGTTTTGAGGGTCTGTCGAGGGTTGGGTGGGCTGGGCGAGTTGGCGAGGCACTTTCCCCAGTGAGATGGCGGAGGCGCCGGTGTGCGTGATTTCGAATGGAGCGTTCAATGTGACGCCGTGGGAGATTACGCCTACGATGTAGTTTGGTCGGGTGCCGGGGTCTGGGAACAGGTGCTCGTTCACCTCGTCGATCGTGCCGCAGCCGTTCTGGAGGAAGAGGATCGTCGAGGATGGGGTCAGGCGCGGCTGTAACGGGCGGAGAGCGGCGACGGTCTGTGTGGCTTTCACGGTCACGATTAGGTGGTCGATGGGGTTGGTTGCTGGTTCCTTCAAGGGGGGTGGCGGGTGCCAGGTGCGAGTGGTCTGGTTGTAGATCTCGAGGTCGTAGCCGCGGTGGTGGGTGGTCCGGCCGGTGACGGTGTGCAGGGTGGTTTGGCTGCTGTTGCGTAGGTATTCGTCGTATAAAGTCTCGCGGTGCAGGAGGAGGGTCACTGCTGGTGGCGTCGGGACAATCTCGTTCAGCCCGTGGGCTGTGAAGGTGCCGATGCTCCCGAGGCCGAGGACATGGACTCGTGGCTGTCGGGATGGAAGGAGTTTCGAGGGCATGGTTGCGGAATGCGAGTAGCTCCGACTCATAGGTCTGCAGGTTGAAACCAGATGTCGAGGGAGTACTCGTAACATGATGTGCGTTGGCGTCGTCGACTGCACTGCGTTATCTATCGGAGAGTTACGGTGCTTATGTCTGTTCAATCACGCCCTACGCCCTACGCCCTACGCCTTGTCAGGGCCTTTTTTTCATGCGCCCTATGTCAAACCCACGCCCTTAAGAAGCCCATGAGATCCGGTCATATCTCAACAGCGTGAAGATTAGAAATGCTAGAATGTTCAAGCAGGTCCAATCCTCCTGTCAATCCCTCCGCCCTGAAACCGACCCCATGAGTCAATCAGTAACGGGCCCCTTTAATGCAACACAACAGCTGTACAGTACACAAACATGCCTGGTAGATACGACTTGCTTCTATCCCCAGATTTCCCCCTTCCCCTCCCCCTCCCCTTCCCCATTCTTCTCACAATGCAACCCCCGAAACGCCGCCAACCACTCGGGATTATCCGCCACCGTCTGATTCCACGTGTCCTCCGAATCGTACAGCACGCGCCGGGACTCCTGCTGAAACATCTCATCCGTGGGCACGACCCCCTTCCGCATCTGCTCGCGGGCAAACCGGCTGAGATGCAGGGTGAGCACCTGGGTGAACGAGCTCAGCTGATCCGGCGCGACCCCAGGAGCCATCGCCTGCAGCGGCGGGGCGACACTCGGCACGGCGGGGGCGACGATCTCGCGCGCCGCCTGCTGATCAGCCTCGCTCCACTGCGCCCGGGACGAGATCTGCGCGAAGTGATCCTGGACGTCGCAGTTGGTCGCGGAGAACGGGATGACGCTGAGCGACTCGGACCCCAGTAGGTACGGCGGCAGGGCGTTGGCGACCAGCGCCGCGAAGTCCGCGGGGAACTCGTGCTCGCCGCGCCAGTCGGCCATGGTCTGGCCCGACCGGAAATGCTCCGCCAGGTGCTCGACGCGCTCCTCCCAGCTGCGTAACCGGGTGTCGCAGAACCCGCAGCGCGAGGTGATGGCTGACTGCCCGATCTTCCAGCTCTCGAGGCCCAGGGGCCCACCCCCCTTGGTGGGGAGGATGTGGTGGACGAGGCGCAGGTGCTGCATCAGGTGGTCCTTGCGGCGGAAGGAGCGGCGCGTGCCGGGTTTGGTTTCGCAGGCGGTGGCATCGTGGTCGTTTAAATGGGCGATGTCCGGGTCGAGGGCCCCGCAGAAGGCGCATAGGGTGGTTTCTGGGGCGGTGGAGGAGAGGACGGTCGTGCCGAACGGGGCGCAGTACCACGCTTCCAGGGTGACATGCAAGGATTTCTCGTGGCGCGCCCAGTCGTACTTGCTCTTGAAGCGGTCGCAACAGAAGGTGCAGCAGTAGCGGCGCAGCGCCTGGGTAGAGCTGGTGGTTTTGGCGGTGGTCTGTCTCTTACGAGATAGGGCTTTGCCCTTGCGAACCCGGCTGCCCCGTCCTTGGACTGCCAGCGGATCTTCTGCGGATGAGGTCGAGCGGCCGGATTGCTGGGAGTCTCGCGACGAGGCGCTGGATTCGCCGCTGGTGGTCGATGCGGCTCGTCTATACTGACGGAATGCATGGCTACTGCCTCCCAATGCACCCTGGCTGATGCTGTCTGGTAGACTGGGGGCCGTCTTCAGCGCATCGATGATATCTGGAATCAGGGCTGGCTCCTCTTCTGGCGGTGAGTTCCGCCACCTTTCCATCGGGTTCAAATCGCCGCTGGCATTGGGGATTACAATGGGGCCCGCTTGTGCTCCTAACTGCCGGGTAAGGTAGCGGCTTCGACGTCGAGGGAGCTGTCGACCATGGCTTGTGGTAAAGGGATCGGTGATGGGATGCGTTGCTCTGGCTGAGCGCAACCGGTCAGAAGAGGACGCGCTTAGCCCGTCCTGCTGTTGGGAGTTCGGAGCGACAGTGGCCATTTGGGACGGACCTGATAGTGAATGGCTGCCTGATCGCCCACTTGGCCACACTGCATTGTGCGAGCAGTGGAGGTCCAGCTCTGCTTCAATGGCAGGAGGCAGCTCGGAAGAAGGGCTCAACAGCTGGGGTGAGATCCAGTCATATGTTCCGGAGCTCGAATGGTCGACACTGAGCAAAGCTGGATCGATCACGTTAGAGTCATCTTGTGCGGTGGTGACTAGAGCTCCATCAGCACGATTATCCCTCGAAGTTGCGCTATAGTACATACGCAGCTGAGCAGCCTGGTGATTCATGCGGGGCAATTTTCCAACGTAGGGTTGCTGAGACCGAGACCGTCCGGCGTACAGTCCTCACGGAAGTAGGGTTGTCTAGTAATTGTCAACAACTGCACAGGTGCCTGCCTGGAGTTCCTTCTTCGGTTCCTGGCTCACCTTCGACGTGGTTGCAGGAATAGGTTTTCTCTGGATGTACCAGCAGGAGAGGTTGACAAATCAAAAGCATGTCGAAACGGTCTTGCCTGGGGTGGCGCTTCTCTGCCCACTCATTACATAATTCCCGCCTCAGGCAGCTGCAGAAACTTGGCTGCTAACTTAGGTAGGTAGTAGTTAACGTTATCTTAACCTTGAACCCAAATGACAAAGGTTGCTAGCGCAAAGCCTGTGTATGTGCACTTTGAATAAATTGACAAGTTAAAATCCTACTATGGCGATAGGCAACGACCCTTGCTCTTATCTGTGTTGGCTTGCGTCCACAGGTCTGAACGAGCTGACAGCCCAATGTTGTTATTTTTTCACCCGTGACCTGGGTGAGGCATTGAAATATATCTCATGTATGGAGTATGTCGGAAAGCCAAGAAACCCCAAATCAATCACCGTGACACAATATTTACCGGTGGTCTTGGCACAACATACCCAAGGCAGCAGTGAATAACCCTTGAGGGACACAGCAAGCCCTGTAGAACAATCTGATCTGGTGAATGGCTGTCGGATTGATGACAAAATTTGATGTTGCTATTGCTGTTTTACTAGACTATATTGTATTAAATCCAGCTCCCATACATCAACCCAAGCATGTTAGCTCAGGGGAAGAGCGCCGGGCTCATAACCCGGAGGACCCTGGATCGAAACCAGGACATGCTATAATTTCTTTTTTCTTTCTTTTTTCTTTTTTCTTTTTTCTTTCTTTTTTCTTTTTTTCAACTTCCACTTTCACGTTCACCCGCGCCATACAGGTACAGTACAAGAGTCTAGAATTCAATTTTATGTTACGCGATATTGCAGTGGGTGACTCCTGTTAATTTGCAATAATCCTCAACACAATCTACTTTTATTCTATTCTCGCCAACATTATACCTATTGATGGATAGTACTCGTACATTCAGATCATTCGTCAAGGCATGGGCCGATAGCGCAGGGAGTCAGCTGGCAGGCAGGTAGCAATCATAATATAGCATGAAGTTTGGAGATGAGCCTTTGATCTCTGACAAGCAATCTACAGAAGCTTAAGGAAAATACTTGATGTTATATCAACTACCAAGTAAATGCCAAAACAACAGCAGACAAGAAGAAACTCGATTGATGGTTCTGGGCCGGATCTTATCTCCCTTACGTTACCTCGGACAGGGGATGGACGTAGGGCACTTACAAATCACTGAGTAGTTTCTGCTGCTCTTCGACCTGAGTCACGGTGCTAGTGGCAGTGGCGGTCGAAGTCTTTATTCCAATCACCGTAAATCAGAACCGTCCTGACATCTCGCCAAAATTAAGCAGAGGTCAAAAACAAACACGTAGGGCGTAGAGCCGACTGAACGTCCATGGCGCCATCATATTCGCCTAGATTACTTGGGAATGACAATGGCTCTAAGCTTGCAAATATTAAAACTTATCTACTTCCAAAGTTGGAACTGTATGATCTTTAAACATAGACTTCGAATCTAGACAAAAATTCTATTCAGGATTAGACTCCGAAAGAGACTAATAACAGAGTTTAAGCTCAGTAGTAGAATGGAAAATGAATGAATAATGTATCATCTGATCTCTGGTATATATTAAAAAGAATTCAAGAATGATTAGTTATTCAACTTCTCCTTCTATAAATTAAGTTATATACAGACTCATAAATGGATATAGCAAAAGAGCCATGAGAAATTTCAGAGACGAATATATCCCTAAGTAGTTGTAGATCAATGTTTAAGATAGTCCGGGCTGACAGGGCTAGGTTTTCCTGCAGAAGACTTCTGTGGTAAGCTCTCAGGCCTGGACGGTGATAGTAATAGTATAAAGATTGTGTGTGTCTGTAGCGAAGGCAGTATGTCTGTATCTCAAGAACTACTTGATACAATAGGAATGTATGTTAGACAAAATGATGTTACTGTCATTCTGATTGTAAGGCCAATTCCTGCGAATTGTCGCTCCCAAAGGTCAAAGGGGACGTGTTACAAAGATTCAAAGTACACAACCGGATTGTATGCTCCACGAATCAGTATCAAGGCAGAAGCGGGTAGTATATGCTGTTGTACAACACCGTAGCCAGGTCAGTGTGTCCATGGCAAAGCCGGTGTGGATATGCGGGTCCCCAGACATGATCAGTCAGCTCTTATGACACATATGTTGTATCTTCCGGATATCTCTCGCCTATGCTTTAATTCGTCACCACGCCGGGGTCTGGATTCTTGATACATGATATTGACATAGTTTCGGTCCCTTGCAGAGTATCATTGTTTATTGTGCTTACCAGGAAGCAAGGGATGGCAGTAACTCTCTTTCGACGCACGGTGTCCTTTGTTCCTTTGGTAGACCCAAATAGTGGCATTGAGTATTGCTACTATAGCAACGAGTTGCTCGGCACGGGTTTGTCAGGAATGAGATATGTCTTGCGCGCCTCTGTCTTTGCACGAGTCATGCGAAGTCGGTGTCCAAATAATAGTTATGAATGCTATGGAAGGAAAGGAGAGGAATGCACCTAAGACCGTCTCAACTATATGCACAGCCTCTTCAAAAAGCCCCCCGCCAGCCACCCGCACGCGCAGCCTCTGGTATTTCTGTGGTGCAGTAAATTGATATCAAACAATTGCTTTCTTGTATCGGCGGTCACCTCCGCAAAATCGTTGTACTAGGTCGTTTGATCTACCTGTTATAATGCTGGAAACCTTTTTTTCCGGGCTGGCATCCATCTCAACAGCCAACCTCGTCTCCTCAGCGGTAATATGTACAGCGCTGTACCTCGCCGGTGTGGCCGTTTACCGTCTCTACCTCTCACCGATATCGCACTTCCCGGGCCCGAGGCTGGCCGCGTTGACATGGGCCTACGAGTTCTACTACGACTGGGTTCTCCCCGGGAAGTACTACGAGCGAGTAGCCGAGATGCACAGGCAATATGGTAGCTCTCCTGACATTGACTCGGTACCAGCAATCGGACTAACGAGACCTCCAGGGTCAATCGTGCGAGTCACCCCGGATGAACTCCATATCCTCGACCCCTTATATTACGACGGGGTTTATGTAACTGCAGCCACACGGCGGACGGATGTTCCCTATGACTTTGGACTTGGCACAGGATTCCACGGTATACTTGCCGTTGCTCCGTGTTGTGTGCTTTCCGGTCACTGACTGCTTCAGATATTGCACGAAATGCTCAGAGCCACGACGACCATCGTGGGAACTATCGATTCCTGAAAGCCTTCTTCTCGCGAGCTTCCATCACGCGGCTCGAAGGCCTGACGACGGAGCGGTTGGATCGGCTTGATGCGCGGTTGCGAGAATGGGTGGATGCCGCGGAGCCGGTGAACCTCACCTATGCGATGTACTCGTATGTGACTGGTGAGTCTGTGGGATGTTTCGGCCCACTGATGCAGATCTAATCTCCCCCGGCGCAGACATCATATCTTCGATGCTCTTTGAAGAGCCATGCGACTTCTTGAGTGACCCGGGGTTCAATGGGTCCTGGTTCGAAAAGCTGAAACACGGGATGGTCAATGTTCCTCTGTTTGCGTTCATGCCTTGGCTTCCAAGGTTTGTCACCCCCTCCAGCTGGTTTTCTGCCTATGTGTAACCGCGAGGTAGAATCATCGCCCTGCCACTGGTGAGCTACTTGTTCGACAGAGAAAAGAGGTGGGCTGTTTTTGATGAAGTATGCATCCCTCACCTTATTGCAGCTTGATATATCCCCAAACCGCTGACGTCTGGCCCGGTCCTCAGCGCACACAACGCCAGCAAATGACTCGCCGAGATCGGCCGAGCGACGCGACCTCAACTCGCTCGGGGAAGACCCTGTTCGACGAGCTTGTCCGACAGAACCAGACCAAGGTCCCGTTCGACGCGGACGTATGTAGGGAGGTGGCCCAGGTGCGTTTGGATGGATCTCCATTCAACCAAAAAAATAAGAAAAGAAAGAATGAAAGAAAGAATGAGAGAAAGAAATCCTCAAAGAAGGTTCAATCCTGATGATTTAAATCCTTTGCAGTCCTTCCAGCAAGCCGCCGGCCATAATCTGAACCGCACCCTCGAGGCTACCATTACCCTGCTCGCCATGGACAAAGAGCGGCAAGAGAAGTTACGCACCTCGCTGAAGCCAGTCTTTGCGAATGCGCAGCGCCCATCCTGGGTGGAGCTTGAGAAGATCCCGTACCTCACGGCTTGCGTACAGGAGGGGATTAGGTCAGTCCAAACTACTAATTGACATATATCCAATCCCGATCTAATTGATATTGGTAGACTGGGAGGCGGCAATCTCCGCCGGGCGGCCCGAATCTCGCCGGATGAAGATCTGGTCTACAAGGGGTGGAGGATTCCCAAAAAGGTATGTCGAGGAGAGTCTCACTATGCAATACCCCGGTCTAATCACAAGGCCTCCTTCCGCTCCTCAGACTCCGGTAGGGATGACGATCTACTGGATGCTCATGGATCCGGCTGTGTTCCCATCGCCGAGAACGTTTAACCCTGAACGCTGGCTGGAATGCTCCGATGAACACCTTGCGGAGATGCACTGCCACTTCGTTGCATTCACCAAGGGATCCAGGAGCTGTATTGGTAACCAGTATGTATAATTCCCTTTCCCGCCCCAACGATGTCTTGTGTGACCAGAAGGAAGCTGAAAACCGGCGACAGCTTAACGTACATGGTCATGTATCACACGATCGCCTGGTTGTTCCGGCCCGGGGCACCGCGGATCCAGTTGTACGAGACAGATGAGAGCCACGTCCTGTCGAGTTACGGATTATTTTTTAGTTTGCCCAGGGTTGATATACCGGGGGTGAGGGCATACTTGACAAACAAGTATGAGGGGTAATGTCCCCCCTGGATCAATCAGAAAGTTGCGCGTGAGCTTTATTTGGTCAATAACTGTAAATGATTTTAATACAGTAAATTAGAAAATGGAATAGCTTTCCTAGTCGGCAGTAAGTTGCTCTTTGGTATACAATAACCTCCGTGTTGGGCCTTCACCACGTCAGGTAGCCAACAATGTTTTCGAAATATAGAAAAAAAACACCTTAAGATAGTATACTTGTCCGGCAGAGTCGCGATTCATATGATGGGCAGTCTATACGGTTTCTTGAATCCAATCCTTGTCTGGGTATTCGCTCGAGACTAAATGGAATGGAGTTGAAGCGAGACACGAGTGGCCACGAAAACCAACCCATACACTCGTACTTGGATACATTGTGCGTAAGAAAGTCCGATTATAAGCCGCGAACACTTACCACCATGTATGATTTTGTGGAATTGGATGGTTATGTTACCCTTAACAAACGAAGTGTCCAGGCCTTGTTATATTTAAACGTTTGGCAGGAGGATCTAACGCTTGGCTATCGCATCAGTCGATAGAGAATGCAGGTGGAAAGCGGCGAAGTAGGGCCCGGAAAAGCTTAAAATCATGAAGAAAAAAGAGTAATCCGAGGAGCTCATGCCGCATGAGTGTATGGAAAGGTTGACACGCTGCTTGGAGACGAGCAGTCTTGGTCAGAGTAGCAAAGTCAGAGATGAAATAGTTATAAAGTCCCCGCTGCGAAGTAGACCATGCGCCATCGCCACACAGACCGAAAGCCAGTCGCGCCACTAATCCTTCTCAATTGATATACCTATACTTTTACAGTGGTCTCAATCCAACTTTGGTAGCCGCAGGGCAGGCACTCGACTTTTCTACTGACAACCCAGCAAAAGGGACTCGGAAGCAGAAAAAGGGGCCCGACTGGTCGGCACCTCAAAGAACCCGACACACTGGCGGGGGCTGAGACAACCCCGCTATTTCCGAGCCGAACAACCACTCAAACGAGCTGTACTAATTTAAGCCCGTGTGACTAGCCCCGGAGCGGTAAGATGTTATGATCGCCGCGGTCGCCCCGCGGCCGGATTATTACCTTTCAGACTAGTTTACTCGGCACCCGCGTACTGTACCATACCCAATCTGAAACCCGATCCCGCCGATCATCTTCTCTTCTCCTTCCACGGGTTTCCACGTAACTTTATCCGAGACCCTAATTCTGGGTTCGGTACCGATCGTCCCCTGACCGTATCGTACCGTACCGTACCCGTTGCTCCAGACTTCACCGCTACTTGGGATGGCCTTGAATACGGAGGAAAATTGAAAACAAAAACAATGCTAATATTCAGATTTCATCGAGTTGATAACGCTAAGATCTACCGGAACTCGAAGTGACCGTCGATGTTGAACAGGCGCTCGGCGAGGTTGATGTCGCGAACGTGCCAGTTGCCGTGCTCGTCGCGGAGCTCACCGCGGACGACGGGGACGTGGGCGCCGCCCTCGATGTCGAAGTGCACCCCGCGGGCGGACTCGAAGAAGTTGTGGCCGCCCCATTGGAAGTGGCCTATCCCGTACCATCAGTACCTGGGTTTATAATTTAGACAGAGGAGAAGGGTGCATACCGTCGATGTTGCCAATGAAGTGGTTTAGGTCAATGTGGGCGGGGCGCTCGTGGCCGTGCGCATCGCGGAGGAGAGCGTGGAGGAAGGGGCCCTCGAGGCGGATGGAACCGTGGACGGCGGACTCGTGGAAGCTCATTGTGGAGGTTTGGCTGGTAGATGGTAGGAGTAAATTGAGAGTGGCTGGATGAGGAGGAATTGAGATGAGGAATGGATGTCAATCCCGGAGGGCGTGCAGCTCCCTTTTATAAGCTGCTTGTCGCTCTCCTTTACCCACGGAGGAGGCGGGCTATCACCCCATCTCGGTCTGTATTGCCCGCATTGACTGCTTGGCTGGTGGGGGTCCGTATTCGTCTACGTACGTAGCTGAGTTGCGACGGTGAAGGCCGAATGGGCCATTTCTGGCGAGACAGCCACAGTGTCTGGGTGGTTTTGGCGGGGAGGGGCATTGAGGGGCTGTGAGGCTGAGCAGAACAATTGTGAGGCGTGGCTGAGAGGCGCACACAGAAGGACAGCTGAAGAGAGAGGTGATATCCACTTTTCATCAGATCGGGTAAGGCGAACCGGTGTCGGCGGTGGGTCAGGGGAGGTGGCGATTACCTAATGGGTATTGACCGTCTCATCTTTGAGGGACTGGAAGTTGAGCTTGTCGGCGTAGTATGGGGTATACCTGCACCTGATCCTTGCCGATCTGGAAAGCTTGGGGTCATGTCGTGATCAGGTGGCGAGGATCGACGGGCTATGATGGATGGTGTGCCGACAAGTCAATTTATGACAAGTCCAACGTTTACAAATGACTTACCGGTACAACATAACTATCCGTCTGACGCAAGTGAGCATCTTGCGGCATTAATTGACACTGTGACTAGCTGTTCACATGTGAACAAACGAAGAAAATCAAATTGCATAGATCATTCAGCCACAGCAGGAAATACGGCAATCAACCGCCAATCACAGCCCTCCACCGCCTGCTAATTCGTCAAATCTTCATGGGAATGAGTCGAATAAGGCATCATAGCTGAGCAAGTTGCCTCTTCTAGTCGCCTCTTGTATTGTTCAACGCTGCCTAGTTGATACCCGTGACCTCACACCGACATGCGGGCCTCATTGCCACCTGTAGGTATCACTCGGCTACGCCTCATCGTTGACGACTCCCACCCACCAGATACCGATACTTGCTTCGTGTAGGTATGTTCACTCCGGGATATTGAAGACCACCCGAGTCCCAATATATCCACTTCGCAATACACAAATCAAACACGGTACACTTAAGCCCACATCTTCTTAAACTTAGCATTGAACTCCGTCCGCAACAGTTGAAACATCTCGAGAACTCGTTGCAATCCATCTTGGTCGAACACGGATTCCATTTGCTGGCATACTTCCCCTTGGCCCTGCTGGTCGTGGTCGATGGGCAATGTCTCGTCGAGACCAGCTGGAACAGTATCCGCATTGCTCTTGGTTTCATCGTCCATCATATCCTCCCAACTGTCCGGTACTTCTTCCTCTGAATCAGCGGCGAAAACAGTCTTGCCTCCTGTCTCATCCACCGAGTTCTTCTCCCTCCTGGGCAGCACAGTCTGGGCCATACTGTCAACCTCATCCTCCTCCTCCTGCGCATCCCCGCACCCCATAACTCCCAAATCATCCGGCTCCCCCACTGATGACTTCGCATCCGACTTTAGAAAATTCTCGAGACTCGTGACAATCGTCGCTAGTATCAGAGAGAAGTCATTCAACAGGAACCACAGATCACCGCGCCGAATCATGTTCTCCTTATCTAGCGCCGACTTGTTGCCATGCTTAAAGAAGTCATACAAATACGCATTCAGCGGGCCTGCCTCTCCGTCTGACTCAACTGGCACATGCGGAATAACGGACTGTTCGAGCCACACTCCCTGACGCACTGATTTACAGAGGTGTGCGATGGTCTTGGGGGGGTCAGGACAGGATAGGGCGACGAAGGCTGATGTGATCGCCGCCTGGGTCGGGCACATGACTGCTGGTCTTGTGCGGTTGTCACGGGCGGTGAATTGAGAGATTGAATTCGTGCCGCCTTGTTTCAGCTTGGTCAATGGAAGCACATCATCTGGGTTGTGGAGGTGCTGGTCAACGAAGGTAGCGACGTAAGTGGAGTAGATGTCCAAGGTCTCGCGATTGTGGTGCCGCAGGATTCGCTCAGCTGGACGGGGAAGGGGTGGAAGGACTACCACCGAGGTTGACTGTTTGTGGCGTTTAAGGTGGCGCTTGATGACGAAGGGATGAAGGGGCCGGCGGCCAAATAGGTGCGACATGACTACCATCAGGGTGCGGAGGGTTCGTTCAGGATTCTCATCGAGATGCTTGCTCAAGCGGTGGAAATATCCCGCTTTGAGGAGAGAGTGAAGAGCGAAACTGGAGTTCTCGGTGTAATAAAGATGGGAAATCGCGCCGGCGAAGTTGAGTGGCACTCCAGTCTCATCGAGGAGTTGGTTGCGCCGGAGGTAATCGATCGAGAAGCGTAGATGGTGAAGTACCGTCTGTCTGGACTCTGGCCCGCCAAGGTAAATGCGCGGACTTGACAGGATCGAGTCAACAACTTTCTTTGCGAGGATAGCCTGGTCCGATTCATGAAGTAGAATACAAAGACGAAGAACTAGACTGGTGGTGATGGGAAAGTGTCCGTTGAGGTCAGGCAGCTTGGAGCTCATGAGGCGACGGACTTTCAAACCAGAGATGTCCTGAAAGACGATATTACCTAAGTAGTCAAAGCCACGGCGACCTGCCCGTCCCGCAGATTGTCGAAAGTTGAGCGCTGTCAGAAACACCGAATCACCTGCAAATACGACTGTTTTGCAGGGCATGTTGATACCTAGCGCCAGCGTGCCAGTGGCAATAACGACGCGCAGAAACCCCTTCCGAAACAATATCTCACACACATTGCGGTATTTGCGATTCATACCTGCATGGTGAACTCCTACTCCGCGTCTCAGCGCGTCGATGAATCTATCAGGTACATCAAAGGATTCTAGCTCCGCGGCATATGTTTCAAAGTCCGATTTCGATATCGCCCTTCCATTGGCCAGAGAGAATCTATTAAGCGGCTCGTCGGGGTCAAAAGACGCGTACCAGTCGGGTTCCTCTGAAGCAGCTTCTCGCAGTCGGTCTGCCCGTGATACCTTGTCGGCATTGTGGCTTGTGGCCTTTTTGGCACGAGTCGAGCTGGACTTTTTCCATGCCTGAAAACGGGCCAGTTTGCTTTTCCATTCTGCATCAGACTCTTTCCAAGATCTTTCGGCATTCTGCAGCTCGCTACAAATGCGATGGCAGATTTTCTCGCACCAGCTCCTGTCATAGTTGAAAAACAGGGCCGGAAGGGCACCTTGCTCGGAGAGGGCGTAGATGAGCGGTAGAGTCGTATTCAGCAGGGCTTCTAGGCCGACCAATGTCGTGTGATGACTGTTCGCAGTCGATGAAGAATGAACATCAGTTTTCTTGTTGCTGAGAGCGTTCTCGGATAACTCCTGCACCACGGCGTCAAATGGCGATTTCCGGTCTCTCATCCATGATGCAAGAACTGCTTTCAATCTAGCCTCGAATGGGAAAACATCAGCTTTGGTCATGATTTCCGGCATCATGGCTGAAGGAGATAGAGAGGCATCAAGGGCAAATTCCTTTGTTTGATTTGTGACCATTGCTTGCCAGAGCTTCAAGCAGTCGCGGGGCTCAAGTGAAAGATCGTCTGGTATGCCCCTTGAACGGTCGATCAAACTTGTTACGGGGTGTATGAACTCCATGTCAGCACACCCATCTAGACCGAGGACCGGAAGCACTGCGGGCCCCGGGAGGCCATCAAAGTTAAAACTGGCTGGTGGACGATAGATGTACTTCCTGAGATCCGACCAGCGGACTTTGTGCTCCACTGTTTTTAGCTCAAAGCCATTTGCCCGTTGTGTCAGGCTCAGCCAATCGCTGAACTCTTTGGGATTGCCGACGGTTGCAGAGAGTGCAACAATAGGACATGGTGCCAGAAGAAGTAGCTGTTCCCAGACTACGCCGTCGTCGGCTTGACCAATGCAATGCACCTCATCAAAGATAATTCGCTTTATGCGGGAGGACCATGACTTTGCGTTGCCTGGCGCAAGAAGCATGATTTGAAGAATGTGTGGCACTGTGATGAGTACCTGGCACTTGGTTGGATTGTTGACTCGAGTATCACGGGTGTGAATGGCCCAAACAGACTTTCCAGCGTGCTTGTAGGTTTTGGTGAATCGAGCCTCGATCTCTGCGGCGACTTGGTTGACAAGGGCTTTGGTGGGTGCGACATACACTAGGACTCCGTCATCACTGTCTTGGAGAACTTGTTTGATCGCATAGAACCTGCACATATGTTAGGTAAGTTTGCAGATAAGGCCTAATCACTCACGATATGAATGTTTTCCCAGCACTGGTAGGAGCCACCACAAAAAGACTTGCCTTGGCATCTATCTGATCTAGGATCTCTCGTTGCCATCTGTCAGGCGCAAAACCCCTGACCCGGGAATCTAGCGCTGACTCCATGTTGCGATCGAGAAAAGGACCTGCATGGAGAAGCTGAAACTCACGAAATGACAATCCTATGTGTAAGCCCTCAGTATCGGCTCCCGGGAACGCGAACTCGAATGTCAGGGATTGATTGCCATGAGGGACTAGGTTGACTTCCGGAAGGCCTAGTGCTATCGAAGTTTTCGAGATGCACTGGATGATATCTTTAGTTACTCCCACTGGTACCTTGGTGATTTGAAGAATTGTATGCCAAATGAGGGCCACTATATGCATTGACTGGCTTTTCTTGGAGGCGAAGCATCGCTTGCGCCAAAGACCAACCAGGGTGCTTATCAAGTATGTTAGAACTTCAGCTTCTAAATGACATCGCTTCTCTTCTGGCAAGCCCTCAAGGTAGGACTTGGCGTTCACGTATCGCTGGGCGAGACTTGGCTCTTTATCGAAACAGCGGCGCTGGTCCTGCCACACTTCCGTCTGCTTCTTGATAAAAATCAATTGCTTGTCCTGAATCTCGGATGATGGATTGGGTCCTGTGGGACGACGGGTATTCTCCTGGTTTCTTGTAAGTCTGCGATCCGCAATTCCTTTCGATTCTCGAAACACTTTTTCGGGCTGCAAGATGCCTCCGGTCGCATCTGTGAGACTAAGAGCATACTGCCTGATATCTCTCATCAAGCGCTGATAACGACTTTGAATCTTCTGAGGCGGTGCGGCGGGCTGCTTCACGTCCAAGGGACGGCGGGCATTATGCCAATGGGTTCGCTCCGTGAACGGTTTCGAACGTGCAGAACTCGAAATCCCCACAGCAGAGGGTACAATGTCCAATGAAATGGGACCCAGGTGCTTGTCCAGAATGGGGTTACTGAAAGGCATGACAGAGCCCAAGATATTCGAGTGGCTCTTGCATCTCGAGTGGGCTATGTCTAGCGTGTGTTCCTGGTACTGACGGTCTGCTGACATGACACCGTCTCCTGTCATGATGGTTCCGGCAATCTTTTGTGCGCAGATCTTGTTGAGTGTTGATACGAGAAGATTGTATCTCTCCACTACCGTAGGGCTGACAAGCATTGCCAAACTCAAGTTCTGATCCCTGTTCAGAGTTCCGAGAAAGATCCTTCCGTCAATCATATCGATTAAGTCGCTGGGCACATGGTCATCCGCAGTGAATTCTTGCCAGGAGGGAGACTGCAAGACGGCAAGCGCCATATCGTTGTACTGTCTCAGGAAATCCGCCCCGGGCCCAGACGCATCGGGTTGACATGGGCGGTCACACAGTCGACACTCGGACAGAACTGCCGTGTGTAGCAACATAGCTTCCATGCATCTGCCAGCCTTCTTACGTTGTTTGCCAGTTTCTCCCAAAGCACTAAGAGTGAATACAACGGCCCATTCCCGCTGAGATAGGCTCGGACGTGGGACAGTTTCGTAAATTCTCCTGAAAATCTTCTTGATTCGTTCACTTGGTTGACCTACTGGGAAACTGACCGTGGAGCTGAACACTGCGCCAGGATGGCACATGTTAGCCGCATACTTTTCCCCATTTGAGCTCAGTTGAGAGATCATATCATGTACAGACTTCGAGTCCACATCCTGATCTTCGGACGACTGCTGTCCAGACAAGTCCAAGCCCTCGAGGATCGTAGAAATGACCTGTACAGGTCAGTATGTGCTAATGTCTCAGACTGATAAGTTTGACTTACCTTAGTATCCCGAAACTCGAGACTATTGATGAGCGAGACTGTATAGCCGCGAGACAGGGACCAAGAAATAAAACTTCGGAACGTAGCGGAGTTGCTCACGGCGGCTTCATTAGGCTTCGTACCGGTTTCAGGTCGTACCTTGCCCGAGGGATTCTCGTCGTCTAGTCCCGAGATGTTATGCTTTTCCTCATCATCCATATAGAGGGCATCAGAATTTTCTGCTTTCTCGGCGCAAGGCTGGTGGTGGATCGCTGGATCTTCCCCATCATGACACATGATGAAGTACGCACGGGTTGCCACAAGGTAGTCGTCGAAATCCTTGCAGTCGTACCCCTCGAAACAGCGGATGTGCATGGACGGGATAGTCTCTGGTAAGTGGCGACTCATATGTTGCAGGATGACTTCACGAGCTAGGCGATACTTCGACCAGTTATCCGCGCTGCTGTGCTGTGGGATGCATGCCTCTGAATGGGATGAGAAGAAGACGATGTGAAAGTGACACTTCCTCTGGTGGAGTTGTGCGAGGAATCTCTCAACGATGTAAGTGGCATGAAGGAGCTGAAATCCGAGGTCAAAGTCTAGCAGATCGTCGGAAAAGCAATGGCGTAGGAGCGAGTCGCCCTCCAGGATGAACAGTTCGTCCCCGGCATAATCTCCGATGAGATCGATAGTTCGTGGGCTAGAAAGGCTTTTCCTGGTCCAAGCAGGATACGTTAGCTGAGGCGGGAATAGGAGTCAGGCCACCGCAGGAAAGAACACACCCCTTGAAAAGGAATGCCCAGTTGGGATCGTCCGGCGGGCTTGAGGCAGTCGACATGTTGAGTGGACACTATCTGCTTCGTGTGTCAAGGTCAGAGCTTAGGGAATAGGAAAAATCGAGGAGACGATGCTGTGTGATGAAAAGAGGGGAAAGGACCGGGATGTGGAAGGAGATTGTTGATGGTTGGGTGGCCTTTATCAGTCAGAGGCCTTAGCGGGAAACTGCCTGCTAGAATCTGATAGTTCCACCATTCACCGTGGCGAACTTTCGCCCAGCGAGTTCCACAACATCTAGCTCGACCGTCTTACTTGATAATCTTCCGATTACACAGCCCAGCAACAGTCTAACCCTATACATATTCAGGCAGACCAGTACATATAATCGAGATGAGTAGCACAACTCTGTTGCTGACAACCAAAAGAGTCTGAGGATTCCTCTCCCAGACACTTTGACGGCTCTTCGGATGCTGATCATGGAAAGATCAACTGTATACGGTATGCAGCTGAGTAGTGTAGTCTAACCGATGGCCGATGGATCCGATAACCGTGAACCGATAACTGGATACCAATTTGGGATAAGAATGTGCCTTATCGAGAAGGCTGACTCCACTTGTGCCTGACAGCCTGTCCAAACCCCAATCCGGTCTGGACCACCGCAGCCCCGCCCCACGTGATCTCAAATTTCCCTCTTCCCACTTTCCCATCCACCGATCAAACAACTTCCCCCTCCACTCATCCCACGCACCAACAGAACTTCGAACGGAGTCTACACATCCACCCAGACAATGCCACGAATACCTCTCGCCCCGCTCGCCTCCCTCACGCAAACCCGCTATGTCATCCACCTGACCACCGGCAAACGCCTCGTGCTGTTCCGCCTTCCCACCATCGAGCCATCCATCACCTCCCCCACACCCAAGAACGAAGCCAACGGATGGTCCTACTACGCCATGGAAGCGGAGTGTCCGCACGCCGGCGGCCCGATGCAGGACTCGTCGATCGACATCGAAGATTCCGCCTACGTGGCTTCCTGCCCGTGGCACGCGTACGACTTCAACGTGGAGACCGGGGAGTCAAGTGTCGGGATCAAGGCGTGCACGTTCGCCGTGGATGTGCGGGGCGCGGTGGAGTTCGGGGATCAGGTGGTGCTGGAATACCCGGAGGATGGGGTGGGATTGGTCAAAATGGAGGCTGTTAGTGAGAAGATCAAGCTGAAGACGGAGGTATCGGGTAAACGTGATGACGCCAGCATTAAGACAAACGGGAACAACAAGACGGCTGCCTCTCCTCAACAAACCACAGAAAATGACGCTACTTCCTCTGGCCCGGCGGTCTACCTCGACGACAAGGCGACCGTGTGTGACTGGTGCGCGCACATCTTGAACACCTCGAACCCGGAGCACAAGATCGAGCTGACGGCGCACCTGTTCTCCATCTTCACGGCGCGCGAAGGCACAACCGACCAGATGGAGATCGGCGACGGCAGCGGTGTGACGCTCCCGGCGATCCCGCCCCGCGATGGCCTCGTCGACATCAAGCCGGGCCAGATGCCCCGCGCGGGACGCGGCGGCACGCAGAAGAGTCGCATCATGATGCTGCACGCGCTGGCGAACATCGAGCAGTGGGCGATCGATCTGGCGGTGGACATCTGCGTGCGGTTCGCGGCGTTCCGCACGACGGCCACGGAACCGCGGGGTCTGCCGCGCGCGTTCTTCCACGACTGGTTGAAGGTCGCCAACGACGAGGCGAAGCATTTCTCGCTGCTGCGGACGCGGCTGGAGGAGATGGGCTCGTACTTCGGGGCGATTCCGGTGCATCATGGGCTATGGGAGTCAGCGACGCTGACGGGGCATGATCTGCGCGCACGGATCAGCATCATCGCGTTGGTGCATGAGGCGCGGGGGCTGGATGTGAACCCGATGACGATCGACAAGTTCCGCAAGGCAGGCGATGAAGAGAGCGTGCAGTCCCTTGAGATCATCCACAATGACGAGATCACCCATGTGACGACGGGCCATCGGTGGTTGACGTGGATCTGCGGGCAGGAGCAGACGGATCCAGTGCAGGTGTTCCGATCGAATGTGCAGCAATACTGGGTGGGGGCGCTGCGGGAGCCGTTCAACACCGAGGCGCGCATGCAGGCCGGGCTGGACGAGCGGTATTACGGCAATCTCGTGGGATATGGTCGGGCGTGAGCGTGGCAGGTTGACGCCACCGTCACCTATATCATCGAGTCACCCTCATCGAGCGCTCGCTCGAACTCATCTGTCTGCGCCGCAGGCCTTAGCAGACAACGACCCAGCGTCAAGCCCCCATTCCCACCCGCGGGGCCGCCCTCGTGGCAAAATTACCGAGATACAAGCAGAAAGCGAAACAGCACTGCAATTTGTCCTGTGCGCCCAAGCACCATTCACAACGAAACCTGTACCACAACCTGCATCTTGTACATAGCATACCCATTAGCGTTAAACGAGTAACCCAACAAGCCAGCAACTTAACCACGAGCACATCCTCCACTCCTCACCTAGCATGCATACCATATGTATGCCACCATCAACGCTGCCCCCACTCATACACCGACTCCGAATGCGGCAACAACCTGCCTGCCCCAGCAGCAGCAGCAGCAGCAGGATCACGACCATCACCCCCATCACCCTCCCCGGTATCCTCCGCCTCAAAATTCCCAACACTCCCCCCCTCCTCAACCTCCCGATCCAAGATCCGCTGATACTCCTCCCGTCTCCGCCGGATCCCCTCACCACCACCCTCACCGTCCCCTTTAAAAACCCAACCCCCCATCCCCCTTACCCGAAGAACCCAAAACGCAATCTACCACAAACAACACATTAGCCCTGCTCACGAATAATCCCGGTCCAAAAACATCCACAACCCCCCACCCCCCAAAAGAAAAAAAAAAGTAGAAGAAAACATACCCTCAACCCCCCGACAACCCCCAACCCCACCACCAAAAACCACAGCACCTTGACCTCCTCGCCCCTCCACACCCCGGCACAAGCCCGCGTATACCCCAACTGCAACACACAGGCATCATCCCCGTGACTCCGATCCTTGAACGGCCACGCGCGGTCCCGCACACTGCGCAGCCCGCAGCACTGCAATCGATCCTGGATCGTCCGGATGGTCGCCGCGTCGCGGGCGTGGAAATACGTCTGCCAGGTTCGGTCGAGGGTGCAGGTGCTAACCCCTGTGGTGTTGTTTAGGTAGGCGAGGACGAGGGTGAGGAGGATGGCTGTTAGGGCTGTGTGGAGGGTGTTGAGGATCGGGATGATCAGGGTTAGTTTGGGGGAGGCGGTGCATTTGAGGAGGGTCGTTGCGGTTAGGGTTGCGAGGGTGTAGGGGGTTAGGAGGGTGGTGAGGATTGGGAGGGCTGGGGGGAGGGGGAGGGAGAGGGTCTTTGTGCGGGTCCAGGCGAGGCTTTTTTGTTGTTAGTTGGGTGTTAGTGGGTTTGGTGGGGGTGGGGGACGGACATTGATAGGATGAAGGAGAGGATGGAGAGCTTTGTTTCGCGTGGTTAGTGTTTCTGTTTGATTTAGTTGGGATGGTGGGGCACGTACGAGGGTGACGAGGAGGTGGATGAGGAAGACGGAGTTGGGTCTGAGGGGCATGGTGGTGGTTGTTTCTGATGGACAGGCTGAGGTTGGTGTTGAGGGTGGTTGATGAGGTTGAGGTTGATGGAGGTGATGGAGTGATGGAGGAAGAGGGGAGGATGCGGGGTTGGGTTGAGTGACACATGCAGTGGAAGTAATTCACCAGCCACAGCTGGGGTGTTACTTGCACCTACCTGTCTTTACATGTACTGCACATTTGGAAGCATTCACTGCCGAAACATTTACGCAACTGTGGAAGACCATACCTTATCTTACATAGATTGGTTGGATAGAGTAGAAGGAGAGTGTACTACTATCGGGATAAACGCAGCCAGTATATGATGCAATCAAAAGACATAGAAGACGTAGACATATATCATGGCCTCATATTCAATCTACCGTTCCATCAATCTAGTAACTCCTCATCCGTCCAATGCTTTTATAGATCCATATTACCAGTACCTGATACCAACCTCACCCCCATTCAATGCCCCTTGTACTATAACCCCCTCAGTCCCCCCCCCCCCCCCCCCCACATCCCTACACTCTCCCCCGCAAAAACAACTTCTCCAGGGCAACCCACCTCCCAAACCCCGGAAACTCCCCCACGCCGCCATCCCGCTCCACCACCCCCTTCCGCTCGATCTCGTAGAACCGCCACGCCCGCAACACCGCCAACGCCACCGCGCCCACGGCAAACAGGCCGCCCACATACACCTTCGCGCCCAGGTACCCTCCGCCAGCCAGATCCACCAACCGCAGCGCAATCACCTCCGCCACCGTCGTGGGCGCCACGAGCATGAAGCAGACCAGCCCGAACGTCGCCGGAAGCCGCTTCAATCCAACCACGTCCGTCAGCACGGGGGCGACCGTACCCCAAAAAGTGCCGCAGACGGAGCCGGCCAGGAGGGCGAAGAGGAGCAGCAGCGGGTACGAGGACAGAAAGACCCAGAGGGTGAGGCAGAGCACCGCGCAGACGAGGGTCGTGAGCATCGACACGGTGATGCGGCCGTGTCGGTCGGAGAGGTACCCCATCAACGGCCGGCCGAGGGCGAGACCCAGGTTGAGGCAGGCGCTGGCGATGGAGCCCTGGCTTGGGGTCAGGGCGATGGAGGTCGCGTAGTTCGGGAGCGAGTAGAGGAGGGCGATAAACCCCAGGTCCGTGGAGGTGCCCCAGATGATGATGAGGAGGACCTCGAGGTGGGTGAGTTCTGTGGGGCTACAGAAGAGAGTGGTTGTGGCGGTGGTGGCTGCGGGGTGAGAGCGATGGCGGCGGGATCGTAGGACAGAGGGCGCGGGATGAGGGCTTGGGCGGTCGCGGAGGAGCAGCGAGCACAGGAGGTTGGCGCCCAGAGCGCACGCGGCGAGGACCCGGTAGGTGCCTTGGATGCCGATGGTCTCGATGCTGCGGCCCGCGATCAGACTGTATGCCAGCCCGCCGAGTCCGGTGCCGGAGGAGGCAAGCCCGGAGGAGAAGCTGCGTTTGCTGCTGAACCACTTGGGCAGGATGGCAGTGGCGGTCAGGTACAGAAAGCCCATCCCGGAGCCAAAGCAGATGCCCTGCGTCAGGAGGAGATGCCAGAACTGGGTGGCATACGAGGCGCTGAAGAGAGCGGCGGAGACGAGCACAGTCCCCAACAGCAGCGTGGGCATTGTGCCAACCGTCTGATGGGTTTGTGTGACCAGAGGACCGATGAGCAGACACTGCCCAATCGAGACGCCGCCGATCAGAGCGAAGCCCAGGTGGCTGGCGTTGGGGAAGGTCGAATGCGACAGGAAGTAGTTCAGAATCACTCCCCATGCGCTGCTGACCCCCCAGGTGTGCACATTGATCATGAACACACAGAAGGTGCACACCCAGGCATACCCTCCGTCGGGAGGGATGTCCTCAAATGAGGTCACGTTGAGGGCATTTTCGGCGATGTTGTCGAAGTCTTGCAGTTCCAGATTGCTTGGAGCAGCAAGTCGTTCCCGACTTGATTCGTTCATTTTGGGTGTCCTTTTGATTGTATTGTTTGGATGAGTGAGACTGAAATGCACCAAAGACGAAGATTGTGTTTGTGCGAGCAGGGCTTTATATGCACATGATGCAACTCACCCCGCAGCCACGATGAGTCAAGTAGACCGCGGTCGAGACACCACACCAACGCAGGCCAGCTCAGTCGCACATAGACCTAACTCGTTCTGATCAGCTGCAGCATAATAATGGTAAATTATGCTGTCTCAAAATTTCCAAGGGAGAAGTAGGATGGCGCCAAGAAAGATGAATGGTGGGAATTATGTACGTCGGCTCACGGCCTTGCTAACTAGCAATAAATTAAATGACATAACCATTTTGTACACATCACTGAGAAACACTAGACTCGGTCTTTCCATTCTTCTACACAAGAGATTGATTAGCATAATTTGAGATAGCAATTTGAGATAGCGTAGGCACGAGACTCACCAGCTTGCGGCTGTAAGAAACACCAAGGTTGTTGTTGCTCCGCGAGTCGTAAGGGAAAGGAGCAGTGTAGTTGAAGGTAGCGGTTAGTCCCTTCCAGGTCTTCTTGACTTGAGACAAGATACCATGGCCGGCCGAGCAAGTACCCGTGGTGAGAGGAACAGGCCATCCGGCAGTGTAGGTGCTGTAGTCGTCATCAGAGAGCGGACCGGGGTGGGTTTCGTTCATGTAGAGGTTGGTGGTGTCAACTTCATAGTTGACATAGCCGGTCTTCTCAGCCACCCACTTGAAGAGGTTGGCACCACAGTCCCAGCGACCCAGAGACGGGAGACCCCAGTTGGCGGACATGGAGGCAATGACGGAATAGTGGGTATAGAAGGTATCATCGGTGGTACCACGGAGGTTCTCCGGGACGGCACCACCCAGCAAGAAGGTATAGACATTGTTGCCAATCTCGTAGGTGCTGGTCTCGTCGAAGGTCAGCATAACGAGAGTATCCTTGGTGAAGTACTCGTTCTCGAGAAGCTTAGTCAGAAAGTCGTAGGTCCAGGCCCCGGAGGTCTCGATGTTGGAGTCGTGGCCGTCATTGGTCATGTTGGGGGTGATGAACATGTACTGAGGGAGACGCTCGTGCTCCAAATCCTCGTAGAAGGTAGTGAAGTTCTTGATCTGTCGTAGACGAAGGGAATCTTCCGTCACGGAATCGAACAAGATCAGAGGGTTGTGCTTCCGCACGTACACGTTGGCACCGCTCTCCGGGTAGCGGTACCCCTGGTAACCAGGGTAGGGCAGAGCCTCCTGGTACTCTCCCCACGCGATGTTCTTGGTATCAAACAAGTCCGCGATGGTGGACACGTTGCTAGGGATTTGGTGGAAGTCATCGTTGTCCATGCCAAAGGTGTCACCGGCGGCCGAGGCACAGTAGTTAGGCTCCGAGGGGTGGGTAATGGCCCAGAAGTTGCTGAGCAAAAGACCCTTCTTGGCCAACTCGGCCAGGTGAGTGTTCCCAGCGGCAGTATCGTAGTCCTAATCTGATCAGTATGGTCCATCGACTTGTATACATAACCAGAAATCGACTTACGGTGTTCTCCAACCAAATGTTCACGAAGCGGTTGAATGAGAGACCCTTGACGTTGGACACTGGTGAGTATGGCTGGACCGAGGCCTTGGCTGCGGCAATCTCCGCGGCAGAAGGGTATTCCTCCGTGGTGGTCTGCGCGAGAGCAAGCGACAGTCCTCCAAGGAGGGTCAAGACGGATTGCTTGGTGAACATGATGCCCGATGGATGAAACGGAGGCCAGGTGAGTGATTAGAACCGGATGGCTTGCGGGCTGGAGGCACAAAGAAGGAAAGAGGACATGAGAGCATTGCGATTCTGGAGCGCCTTTATATATGTTTCCTTTTCTCAAATTTGCGATGTCTTGCGATGTCGGACGAGGTGGCTGACAGCCTGGAGCCCATGGGGGGGCATGTGTCTACATCTCCGCTGCCGATAGGAAGCTTCGTGAACCGTGTAATTGCCGTCAAGCGATTGGCCATGTACATTTAAGCGATGGCATCTAGCCCCTCCTGCATGCACTTGATTGCGCAGCGAGATATCTAATCTCCGACGGGGGAGCTGGAGAAAGCCGGTTATGCGTGGATGTTGAGAATGACTGGCAGTTCTGGAGGGGAAAAGTAGATGGATGGACGATGGAGGAATCATGCACGTTGCGATTCACTCGGCGCTGACTGGCCAGCGGGACAGCGGGAAGCAAAGTGGGTGGAAAGTGGGCCTGAGGCCAGGCGACGGGCACGTGCCCCAACCAGCGGCAGCGACGCGGTCGGCAAGACTGCTGCAGCATACCTTAAAACCTGGGGGGACAATGAGAAGGGGAATGGGGAAAAGAAAAAGATAAACAAGATAGAAAAGGTAGAAAAGGTGGAGCAAAAAACACTTCAATATCGACAAAATCACGCGGTGTAGAACAAATACAGAAATGCATCAACCATGCTATCATTGCTACTCATTATTTGCAAAGCGACTGGAAATCTATCATCTATAATATATCATGACTAGCGATGAAAGACCCCTCCCTCTATCACATCAAATCGTCTAAGCAAAGAACTTGGCCTCTCCCTCCTTGAGCTTGCCAGCGCCGACCAGTCTCTGCACCTCCTCGGTGTACACAGTCTTGACGGCAGCCGCGTCCTTGCCAGCAGCAGTAAGGCGACCAGCCAGACCAGCCAGCTCCTCCGCATCGATCTTGCTGAGGATAAGATCGACGTCTCCCAAGACGGAGTCGACCTGGGCGGCCGAAGGAGCCTCATCGAAGTAGTTGACATCCTTGACGGATCCCTTGACAACACGCTTGTTCTTCTTGGTGGCGTTCTTAGCGGCCTCCTTGGCCTTCTTGTTGGCCTCACGCTCGGCCTTGGCGGCCTCCTCGGCATCCTTCTTGCGCTGCTCCTCCTCCAGGCGAGCCTTCTCCTTCTCCTCGACGAGACGCTTGGCCTCGGCCTCTCTCTCGAGACGCTTCTTGTCCTTGTCGGCACGGGCGGCCTTGCGGAACTTCTTGATTCTCTCGTCACCGGCGGCGCAGTCGTCGACCAGGTGGCGGAGACGGGCCGTGTCCTCGGTCTTGCGCTTGCGGCGGGCGTTGGCGTTCTTCTTCTCGACGTGACGCTTCTGGTCACGGCTCTCGTTGTCGTCGGGGACATCCTCGTCCAGGTACTCAAAGGTACGCCAGCTGTCGAAGTTGTACCAGAAGTTGTAGAACTCCTCGACGACCTCCTGGCTGCTGTTCTCGTCACCGAGCTCGGGGACGGGCTGGATGTTGGAGAAGCGGCCCTCGGAGATGAAGACCTTGCGCCAGAGCTTGTAGAAGTTCTTGGAAGCCTCCTTCTTGGTGGGGGGCTCGACGTCGGCGGCCTCGTCGACGGAGTCGAACTGGCGGCGCTTGACGGGGTCGGAGAGCACCTCGTGGGCCTTCTGGATACACTTGAAGAACTGGTCGTTCTCGTCACGGTCGCCCAGAGCGGCCTTCTTGTCGGGGTGGTGGCGAAGGACCTTCTTGCGGTGAGCACGCTTGATCTGCTCGGGGGTGGCGCGCCAGCGGTACTTGGTCAGACCGAGAACCTGGTAGTGATCTTGGCTCTGCAAGGGATTAGCATCGAACAGTAGCAGTATTTTGGTTACTGGTAAACCGTACCTTCCAGTCCTTAGCCTCTCTGGCGAGGAGCATGTTGTCCTCGGGCTCGGAGATCTCGCCAAGGTCGTCCTCCTCGGTCTTCTTGACATTCTGCTGGGCCTGGATTCTCTCATCCTCGGAGAAGGTACGTCCGTGACGCTTCTGTAGGAATTGTAAGCATCTTACCCAGAAGTCAACTTCAAGCAGGATGGAAAAATGAGACATACTCTGCGGGCGTGGGCCAGGAAGAAGGGACCGACGGCCTCGAGGTTTCTCTGGGTGGCGCCAGAGAGAGTGCCAACGGCCTTGAAGTCCTTCTCGGCGCTCCAGCCGGAAGGCAGGGCGGGGAGAGCAAGGTTGAAAGTCTGAGTGGAAGTCATGATGAACTTTTTAGATGCCTCGATGAAGATGGGAAGAGACAACGGAAGACCCCAACAAGAACGTTGTGTGAGCGGGAGAAAACTTGGAAGGCTTCAAGGCTAACTTTCTCCCCCTCTGCTTTTTTATTTTTTCTGCCCCGACTTGCCGCTTGGCCCGGAGCCAATCATGAGTGGCTTGTTTCGGAGGTTCTTCGAAAGCCTCGATTCCGCTGCGAAGATCACTTGCTTGTCAACAGAATAAGGTACCTACTTGTTTCTCTCAACTACGATCGGTCTGCTTTACGGTCTTGTCTTTCATTATCCTTCTAGCGGATAAGTAGAGGGTCTACTACAACTCAACCGCTCTCAGAACAACTCCCGCCGCTCGCTCTTCCCAGCCACCGATCCGCAAACCGTCATCTGGAGACTCATACTCAAGTACAAGCCCAGACCATTCACTCCCGACGCACGCAACACACAAGCCACTCATCGTCTTCCACAAAACTCACACATTTCGATATGGCTTCTCAAGGCGTCGTCTCCGCACGCAGTGCCTACCGACAACTTCTCCGCGCGACCCGCGTGGCCTTCCACAGTCCGTCCACCCGATCTCTTCCCTCAACCGCCTCTCCAAGAACACCGCTGACTTCTACTCCTTCCCCACAGACGACCTCCGCGTCATGGTCGCAGCGCGTCAAGAAGCGCGTCGCAACTTCGACAACCACCCTCGCCAGGGCATCGACACCCCCATGCAGATCAACCACGCCATCGAGGTGGCCAACATCCTGCGGCACAACATCGTGCAGGGCGTGCGCGACGACGGCGACGAGAATGCCAAGTGGGGTGCGCTTTTAGCCTCCGGTCCGTCTCTTTTCCAGAACAAGACGATGCTAACAACGATCATAGAACTCCGGATCCACGACGAGATCGAGCGCGGCGACAACGATTCCATCAAGATCGCCGGGAAGAAGGTCAAGGTGGACAAGCCCTGCTCTGCCTGATCACAACGATTCGATTTTCGACGATTCGATTGTACAGGGACAGACTACAGTCTAAACGGGCGGGGGGTGTGGTGGTGGATTGCAAAGATATGCATTGCGGATTGTATTATAGTATACCCGAAGTTTCCTTTTGTTTTCTCTCTTCTCTCCTTTCTGGCGTCTCTTTGGGGTATTTCATGGTTTGTAGAACTACTGGTAGACAAATGCATGCACAAAATATGTAACAAATCAAAAGAAAGCCAAAACGCCCGCTCTCAAACATACATCATATGAAGCTCCCTCCGTCCTTGAGAAAATCAGTGTCAAAATAAAAAGAGTTTAATCGCCGTTCAAACTGGAATACTGGATTTCGCCAGCACCCGGGGGTGGTGCCACCGCATAGTTCTGGGGTCTTTGTTCCTTAGCCAGGTCCTCTCCGGCCGCCGTGATGGCTCGCTTGCCGCCATCGCCGGAGGGGCGCGTGCCCACGGCTTGTCGACCCTCGCGGGCGTTCTTCATCCGCTCCTCCCGGTCCATGTTGTCCAGCGGCTTGGGCTTGCCCCACCGGACGCGCAGGGGACAACCCTGGAGGACGGCCTTGCCCTGGCAGTGCTTGGCGGCCGCCTCGGCGCCCTCGCGGGTGGCGAAGTTGATGAACGCCGAGTGGGCGCGGTGGGAGCAGATCAAGGAGCGGAGCGAGCCGAACTGGGTGAAGAAGGTGCGCAGTTCGTGCTCGGGCAGGTCGTCCTCGACGCCCGTCACGAACAACGAGGTGATGTTGGGGTCGGCGGGCGGGTTGATGTCGTCGGCGGAGGGCGGCACCTGCGCCGCACTGGGGAAGGGACGCCCGCCGCGTCCCCCGCGCATTCCTCCTCCCGCTCCGCGTCCGCCCCGGCCGGGCAGCGGTGTTCCCCTCCGGCTCTCGCTGGTGCGAATCGGACCCGGCCCGTTACCGTACCGACTGTGGACGACGGGCGCCTCGCTGGACCCTGTGGCGGGACCCTCCCCGTCTTCGGGGGCCGCCTCGATCCGGCGCTGTTTGCGGTAGTAGGGCTCGCTGTTGGCGAGTCTGCGGAGCAGCTCGCGCGCTTTCTCGTCGGTCTTCTCGTACTCCTCGACCGCGCCGCGGCCTTCCTCGATCTCCTTCTCGTGGCCCTGGGCGTAGTATTCGCGGTTGATGGTGCTTTCCGGGCCCGGGGCGACCATCTTCAGGGCGGCATCACGGACGACGATGGGCAAGCCGAAGGACAGATCCAGCATGCAGCACTGGCAGCAGTTCTTGAGACGGGCGCAGGTGAGGCAGATGGTGGTGCGCTTGGTGCGGGCAGTGCGGTCGGCCTTCCAGCGGAAGATGGTGAACGGACGCGTACACTGTGACAGTGTTAGTATCGGTGGCTAGAATGGGTGCGCAGAGCGACGGGAGGGCTCCCTACAAGTTTGCATTCTGCGCCATAGTCCTCTTTCAGCATCTGAACGTAAGGATTGTCCGGGAGACAGCTCTCACAAACTGACGGGAAGTCGGTGGTTTCCCATCCGGATCGGTTGAGATCCTGCTTGATCTGGGCAGGAGGCATGGTGGTGAGGTAGTTTGAAGCTCTCTGTGTGACTTCAGCGGCGAAGCTCAGAGGTGAACTGGAGGAGTTGACAGCGGCAGCAAGAACTTGGATTATCGATAGTCATCGTGGCTGAATGTGGCTAGTGGAGAGCGTTGTGGCGAATGCATGACATAAGCACCCGCAGCTAGTTTTCACGTGACTGCATGGGATCTATGTGGCTGATGGGCTATGGAGGGCATTGTCAATCACGAAATTCGTTTAATGCTGAGGAGGCAGGCTACGTACTCTGGTGATACAGGGGTTGTGTAGAGATGAATTTAGCACGTGAATATTCAAACAGCATTGCATCCTCGTCCGCACCCCTGCCAGCCCCAAGATGCATTGGAATTGATGATGCCTGCCACCTGCCACTGGAATCCGCGCAGATACGCGAATACGCAATACGCAATACGCAGAGCAAGCAACCAGGAACGAGAGTTGGCGGGCGAAGATCAAGGCTTGGAGGCGCGGAAGATGCCTGGCACTAAGCCATATGGAGAAAGGCGTGGTTCCATCGTCCCGTCCGGCCACACTTTTTTCCCGGCCACCAGAATCCCGGAAGGCCCGATCAGGTCTAGTGCTGCGTCGAATTGAGTCTCTGGTTGGCTGGCCAGCGCTGCAAAAGTGATTGGCTGGGGAAATGTCAAAGTCGATTCGATGCCCGTCGGTCGAGGTCGTCGGTCGCAATTCCGCCTCCCCTTTCTTTCCCCGTTCTTCGTGTTTGCGTGTTCCCTCAGACATTACCTTACGGTGGCCCTTCCCCTTCCATCTCGCTTCATTTCATTCCACTTCACCTCCTCTTCTCCCCCTCTTCCTGCCTTTCTTTGCTGCCTGTTCGGCTTCAATTATTTTCCCATTCAATTCCCTTCCATTCAACTGGGTCGTGGATATATAATTGCCTTCTCTTCTCTTCTTCTTCTCCCTTTCTTCTTTCGCACAACCCACTTTTCTTCAACCCGGCTTTACCCCCTTTTAATCCTTTTAATCCCCACTACCACTTTCAACACTCAAAATGGCTCCCACAGCTTTGGAACAGGAGAACCATGTGCGCGATGCTGAGTTCAACCGTGTCCTGCACGGAAAGTCCGCTCAGTCCCAGGGTGGTATTGCTGCCATGCGTGGCAAGGACGCCGCTGCCCAGAAGGCCGCCATCGACGAGTACTTCAAGCACTGGGACAACAAGAGCGCTGAGGACGAGACCGAGGAGATTCGCGCGGTAAGCACTGTGCAACCGGCGCCCGTTGCTGCTGGGCCAAGCTAATCAATTGCAAACCCCTAGGCCCGCCGAGCGGAGTATGCGACCTTGACCCGACAGTATGTCTTCCATCGCCGCTATGGCCTCAATTGCCCATCTAACTTGGCTCTCCAGCTACTACAACCTGGCCACCGACTTCTATGAATATGGCTGGGGTACTTCCTTCCACTTCTGCCGCTTCGCTCCTGGCGAGCCCTTCCGCCAAGCCATCGCGCGTCACGAACACTACCTGGCCCACACGATGGGCATCAAGGCCAACATGAAGGTTCTCGATGTTGGCTGCGGTGTCGGCGGCCCTGCCCGCGAGATTGTCAAGTTCTCCGACGCCAACGTCACCGGCCTGAACAACAACGACTACCAGATCGAGCGCGCGACCCGCTACGCCGAGCGGGAGGGATTGAGCCACAAGCTCAACTTCGTCAAGGGCGACTTCATGCAGATGAAGTTCGAGGACAACACCTTCGACGCCGTCTACGCCATCGAGGCCACCTGCCACGCCCCCGAGCTGGTGGGTGTCTACAAGGAGATCTTCCGCGTGCTCAAGCCCGGCGGTGTCTTCGGTGTGTACGAATGGTTGATGACTGACGAATACGACAACGACAACGCCGAGCACCGCAAGATCCGTCTGGGTATCGAGCAGGGTGACGGTATCTCCAACATGGTCAAGGTGTCGGAGGGTCTCCAGGCCGTCAAGGACGCTGGCTTCGAGCTCCTCCACAACGAGGACTTGGCCGACCGCCCCGACGCGATCCCCTGGTACTATCCCCTGGCCGGGTCCTTCAAGCACATGGGTACCATCTGGGACTTCTTCACCATTGCGCGCATGACCTGGTGGGGCCGTGGCATCGCCCACCGCTTCGTTGGCGCCTTGGAGAAGATCGGATTCGCCCCCGCGGGCTCTCAGAAGACCGCGGACAGTCTGGCTCTGGCCGGTGACTGTCTGGTGGCCGGTGGTGAGAAGAAGCTGTTCACGCCGATGTACCTGATGGTTGCTCGCAAGCCCGAGTAGACGGATTGGTTACTATGATATCACGCCTGTACAAAATTGCGTTTCTTTGCGACAGCATCCCACACGAGCATGCATAGAGGGTGATGGCGGTCTATGTTCTTTAATATCCCCGGTTTTGTTTCTTGTGTTTCCTTCTCTACATGTTATATTATTGCATACCGCCGTGGGATGTCTGTCTTTATGAGCTGTCCGGTTGGGGGCAGTGGGTATCATTGCTGAGTATGTGCTCATGGATGATGATTTAGGTTATTGTTAATATCAAGACACGACATATGCTTGTAGCTGCAGTTCTTCGTATCATTCCTGCCGGTGTCTGCTCTGGGGTAGAACACCTGACGACCTCTGTCCTTCTCTTTCTCATCCAAACATTCCACAGATTGAAGACTTGATCGGTCCTACAACGAATCCACCTCAACTCAACATATATCAACTCAACCCTTCCAAACCAAACGTCAGCACCACGACCTCCCTCCCCCCCTCTCCATCGACCCTCAACCCAAAGACCGACAAAACCCCCACCTCCAGCAACGCCCGCTCATCCACCACCGGCTCCCCCGTGAACCCATACCCCCTCCACACAACCTCCAACCCCTCCTCCCGCCCCCACCGCGCCAGCACCCACTCCTCCCTCTCATTCTCCGGCAAGATAAACCATACCCGGGAACGCCAGCAAACCACCTTGCCCCTCAACCCCGTCTCCGTCGGCCACACGCCCTCCAACGCCCAACTCTCCCACCCCTTCCCATCCAACCCACGCACATAATACACCCACTCCTCCCGCCCCGCCCGCGTATTCTCGCGGTTCAACACATGCAGGGTACCGTCTGCATCGACAAACTGGCCCTCCTGATTCATAATCCCACTCCCGCGGGGGATCCGCCGAACCCGGAGCCGGGGGTCCTGGGAGTCTAGAGGCGTTGTCGCTTCCTCTTCAGCTTCATCCGGAGGATTCGCGCCGAATGCACCGGTCGCAAGGACCTCGTGCGCGGTACGGCTACCGCGCCATCGTACGCTTACGCCCACCTTTCGGTCTGCGTGCGAGGGGTCGGGGTCCACCTCGGCGAAAGCATGGTACAGCCCCTCGTTGTTCTCGGGCCCGTTCGGCCCCGTCTGCGCTTTGTGCGCCGTGGAGGTCGGGTCCTCTGCTCCTTCGTAGGGTACGAAGTGGCGGTTCGTCCAGGTGATGTGGAGTCTGTTGGTGGGGGTGTGGAAGGAGAGGCCGTTTGGGTAGGGGTTGCAGGCTTGGCCGTGGAGGTAGAGGGCTTGGGGCGTGGGGTGGGGGGTGTATTTTCCTGTTACTGTTGCTGGATTTGGGGGCGTAGTTGTGGGTGGGGATGTGTCTGTGGGTGTATCTGTGGGTGTATCTGTGGGTGTATCT